CTCTCGAGGCATGGGAAGTGGCACTCTCGAGGCATGGGAAGTGCCACTCGTCTGCTTTCTCATGTGCAGAATGCGTGCAATTCTGACGTTGGCGGGCACCTATGCTGTCTTCGATTCAGAGTATTGTCTGTTGTTTGCTGTTCGCAAACTAGGATCGGTGGCTTCCTTCGATCTTGCGAAGACATTCAAGGCGGCATCGGAATGCTCCGTCCGGACTTTCACCTAACACCGAAAGCCACCACTGAGGCAGCTTGTTAAAGCAAGTTTCGGAGCAAATGCATCTACGGCACCTCAGCAATGATCTATACGGTACAGTCTATTGCATGCAACCTTGGGCCATATCGTCGTGCAGGCCTTGCGATCGCAAATTTATGAGCTGGACCCACCCCATCGATATCGATGCCTGGTTCTTCCTGGGATTCTTCCTCCAGCCAGGGTTCTCATATCGTCTCGATCTCGCTTACAAAGATGAGAATTCAAGCTTTCGTGTGGGTCGCCAGTTTGTAAATTGCTTTTTGGAACTACAAAACCTAACGTCATTTTTGTACTGCATCCTGGCATCCATTATTCTTGTGATTTTTGCCGGTCTGCCTTGGGCCCTGCGCTGTACTAGCTGTACCTACCTAATGGGCCACTTCCTCTCGCAGCTAGACCCAGCCTGGATGCCCCCCTCCATTTCCTCCATTTTTGTCGCGCCCGCTTGCGCTCGTTCGACTATTTTTTTTCTTTCCTCCTCTCCTTCCCTCCACAGCAGCGCACGCAGGTCGAGGAGCACGCGCGCCTTTCCTAACGCCGCACCGTAAAAGGGAAAGGCGAAAGCGAAAGCCGGTCAGCGTCAGCCCAAGCGTGAGAGGGCAGAACCGCGCAGGCTGCCGATAGGGACCAAACAGAGGAAGAAAAGCTGGTTGACGACGTGGCCTCGCGCGTCGATATAATTCATCACCGCCGCCTCCGACAAATCGAGCCGGAGCGTGAAACGACGAGCCCATCCATCGCCAACCGGACCCATCAGCAGAGCTACCTCCATCTCTGATTCACCCCCGCTCGCCCGAACGACGTACTTCCTTCGCGACTCCAGCTCCACACAAACGGGACGACCCAAATAAAAAAAAATTGAGACGAGCGCGCGCCTGGACTTACTTGGACTGGGTAAGTACTGTGGGCGATATGGCCGACATGATGCCTTCTCCTCCGCCATCGGCCATGGGCCTGCAGTCCGAACACGATCAAAGTGGCGGACCTGCGCGAAAGCAGCAAAAGAAGAACAGCGGCGAGGGTGCGCCGGCTCAAGCCTCGTCATCCAGCAATCCGTCTGGCCCTCCCTACATCTGTCCCACCTGTCAGACGAGCTACTCACGGCTCGAGTATCTGAGAAGGCACGAAAGAAGGCGTGAGTAAAGGCTACTGCATTGCCGCCTCACTCCTCCGGACTGACCTGTCCCTTGACAGATGCCGACATTCGGCCCTTTGTGTGCGATTGCGGAAAGGGCTTTTCAAGAAGGTGATTAGGGCTTGGCTTCCAGATGCAGCAGCAAGTGGATGCGCAGGGCTGACCAGAGGTTTCTCATCATGACAGTGACGTCCTGTCCCGCCACAAGAAGCAGTGCGCCGTCTTCATCAGCGGTGGTTCGGCAGAGGATGGCTCTGCGCAGCAAACAACCAAGAGAGCGTCGGCTACCAAATCGAGGAGGAATACCAGCACAGGCAAAGGAAGGAAAAGTGGGGCGAGCAACAATGGCAACGACAATGGCAACCACGATGGGCAGGAAGAGGAGAGCCCACCCTCTGCCAACTTCACGTCGCAGTCTCCGAACGTCGGATCCAGCACTGCCGGTTTCCCCTTCTCGACGTCGGCCCTGGCTCCACCGTCTGCACCCCCTCCGCTGTTGCCACCGGCCCCGTATGGCGTTGAGGGCAGCAACGGAGCCGAATACTCTCGCAGCAACCCCCCATATGGCCTTCCCGGCGGATCGATGAACCACCTGACTTCGCTTGGCAGCACCTTCAACCAGCAGCACAACTACCCTTCTAGCCCCGAATCCAACGGCACAATCTCGCAGCATGGCAGCCCCCGCTTCGCCGCTCGAGACATGTCTCGACACGGCAGCAACTCGAGCAGATTTTCGCTGCGTAAGAGCGGAGGCAGCTTTGACCACATCGCACCTCGCTCCAATGCCACCAATTCGACGGCGGCTACCTCTAATCACTACTCGCAAGAGTTCTGGGACGCCCTGGATCCGGCCGCCAAGGGTGCTTCGCTTCAAGGTTAGTAATGGCCTTGCTTACTTTGCTATGTGTACAAGACATGTTCTGACAATCCATCTATCAGGCAACGAGTTCTCGTCCTCGAGCAACCCGCCTCCTCCGTTCACGACCCATGCCCCATTCTCTCTCTCTGCTGAGGCCAACGCTGGCATCGCCGCCGCGAGCGGTGTCCCTGCCTCGACGACAGCCACGGGTCTGGGTGCGACGACACCGCGCGGAGAACCACAGCGGTTCGCCGTCTCGACGGGGCCTCTCTCGCCCTTTTCAAGCATCGCATTGACCTCGTCGATGTCGCCTTATCTCAGTGCATTCTCCAATGCCAGGGATACGCCCTTTGTGGCTAGTCCGAGCAGAGGTGCGCTACCGGGCACGCCTGGCTCATCGAGCATGAACGTCTTTGACTGGACCATGCGGCCGCCCAGCAAGCCGGCCAGCAGCAACCCAACGAGCGGCAAGCGGGACAGCTTGAGCCAGCAGGGTGCCGCACCAGCCCTCCCCCAGGGTGTTGGACCAGGCCCGAAGCGCAAGCGTGAGGATGAAGATCAGCAGCAATATCAAGGCAAACGCCCGTCTTTGACCAGCAAGCAGGACGAAGAGGGCGCCGCCGCCGCTGCCGTCATGGCCGCCGATCCTGACCAAAGGACCGCGGCCGAGCTCCTCGACTCGCTCAGAACGGGTGGCACGCCTCGCCAACATGGCAAGGAGGAGGAAACAACTACCAATCACAACGACGGTCAGCGCATGCAGCAGCACCAGCAACAGCAGTCGCACGAGTCCCGAACAATGGAGGGTGGGAGAGAAGACGGTCGAGGGACCGCCAAGGCCGAAGGTGAAAATGGCCAGTCATCGGGAAATCAGTCTTTTTTTGAGGGGAGGAACGTCACTGCGGGGCCAGAGGCGTTCCTGCTACGTCTGCAAGGCGGCTTGGAAGAGTCGCGCGCAGGCTTGCTGGGCCCCGATGGCAATGTCATCAACACCGAGGCGCCCTTTGGGGGCGCCAGCGGCATATCTCTCGGTGCCATGGCCAGCCATGCGCCATCGACGACTAATGCAGCAGCCATGTCGGCTCGCGCTTGGGACGTGGGAGCAATCATGGCCAACAATGGCGCCACTGGTCTCACACCGCTCTTTAGCGGGGCGACAGGCACAGGCGCAGCCGGCTCCAACAACATGAGCTGGCTCCTGAGTCCTGGCGTCCAACAGATTATCAACAACTTTACGGGACGATCGGAAGCACCAGGGGATGGAGGAAGCTACTTCTCGGGCGCACCCAACGGAAGTGCTCACGAGAGCGCTCTGCCGCACGCCGCGGCGATGGATGCAGGCCAGAATGGAGCCCCATCTCCCCCGTCACAACAAATCAACAGCTTGGCTCTCGAGCGAGCATTGGGAGATGTCAAGAATCCTTTCTACCTCCCTCCTCACCTCTTTCGATCGTGCTACTCGATCACGCATTGGGCCCTGCCGTCACTGACTCGGTTGAGCATGCTGGCGCTGCACTCGCAGCAAAACCTTCTCAAGCACTTTCCCATTCTCCACGAGCCGACTTTTCGACTAGACACGACGCCGGGTTGCCTGGCATTTGCAATGTGCATGCTGGGAAACCATCAGGTGGGCCGAATGTGGTGGGCCGGCGAGGAAGTTGTCCCGAAGAAGGGTCCGTCAGCATGGACGATTGCGACCCCAAAGGACGAGCCAATGTACCGGGACAATGTCGACGAGCTGTCGAAAAACGGACTGTTTGAAAAGCGCGAAGATGAGGTGCGATACGATGAAGAGGATGGCCAGGAGCTCGTCCGTCCCATCGTCATGACGGAAAAGGTCGATATGCTCATTCGCAGCTTCGCCAGCCGAGCAAGATCGACCAAGGACAAGGTCTTCGTCGTCGAAGCCCTGATGCTCTTTCAGTCCAACAATTTTCTCAGCTCCGACCCCGCAACCAGGTCCGTCGCCGCCCTCTCGCACAGCTCCGTTGTAAATTTGGCCAGGAAGGCGGGCCTTTTTGATGTCGATGCACCTCACGCGCAAAGGTTCGTCACCTACACGCCCGATGATGTTGTGCGCTCGACTATCTTTGAGGCAAATGACCTGTGTTTCAGCTTTTCGTTTTTGCCAAATTACTTGCCCAGCTGCCCCGACGAGGAAAAGCTCTGGCGTCGATGGTCTGACTACGCCGGCCGCCGACGCACAGCCTTTATGATCCTCATCATGGACACCGTCGCCAGCTTGGACGCCGGTCTGCCTGTCCAAATCGGCTTTGACGAGGTTGTGCATCTGCCCCTACCCAGCCCAGACACCGTCTGGCGAGCACCCAACTCCGAGACGTGGAGGAAAAACTTGGAACGCTACCGGGGTCCTACCTTTGACGAAGCCATGAGCGATCTGCTCGCTCCTCGTCAATCGGACGACGAGGCGTTGGCGCAGAGCACGGACAAGGACGCTTCGACGAGGGCGCCCACCGTTTTTGGCGGTCACGGTCCCTTTGCCAGGCTCGTCATGATTATCGCGCTGCTCCGTGGCATTATTCACCTTCTTGAGGGCAGGAGCAAACGGGTCCCCAAGGAATCGCCTGTTGAGACATGGCTTGCCAAGGCCGAACTCGCCCCGAGTGCAATGAGCAACAGGCCGCCATTATCCAAGCTTGACCGAGATGCGCACATCTTTCGCCGAGCTCTGGCCCGGTGGCGCAAAGCTTGGGACCACGACAACCTTTGCCTTGGTGCTTCGGGCCACACAGGGCAACTCAAGGCGGCAAAGCTGAGCGTCTCCGAACCTGGCACCCACCATCTCTTTGCCAGCCGCACGGCTTCGGGTGCAACGCCTTTGTCAGACGACGCTCTGCCATTCTTTTGGCTTGCTCAGGTCTTACTGGTCCACGGCAGTAGCAACCATGCGCTATCCCACGACTCCGACCTGACGCCGCCCAACAGCACCATCGAGAGCCCAGTGACTTCCTTGACACCTGAGCAGAAGAGGGCAGGGAAGCTTCCCGACTTTAAGAGGATGCTGCGCGTCGCGAAGAATTTCGTCGATCGAGACGAGGATGTGTATTTGGACGGCCGCATCAATGGCGGTAGCATCAGCGACGAGATGAGGGAGTTTGCGATGGCAAAGGCAGCGATGGCTCGGACGTAGGTTCAAAAAAAAATCTCGATACAATATGTGCAAAGTTTTCCCCCTTCACCTCCCATCTCCCCACCCCGTCATCCACTGCCCTTTTCTCTCTTGTACGGCTTTTGACATCCCATTCTTCTGTGTAACCTTTGTCTCTTTCTTACTCCAAAAAGAACGATAATGAGATTTGGGTGTTTTCCGGCTAATCGAAAGCAGCGAGGATCTTGGAGCATAGGTGCCCACCTAGTAAGGGTGATTGTTGAGGGAGAGTGCTAGAAGAACAACGGTCCGAAAAAGCAACCGGTTGGCCCGGTGGAGCTGGTGGACGTCTAAATGCGTGCGGGCGCGCGCGCTTAATGTCCCCAGACTCACGACCCCCACTATTGAATCAGTGAAGAGGGGAACCATGTCGTCGCAAGAGTACGACGAGACAAAGCTCTCGATCCCCGTTCCTTCTGCGTCTTCGCCGACTACGCACCTGAGCGGGATCCTCCACCAAAAGAAGCAGCCGTCGCAACCCACGTCGCAGGCTGGGCCAAGGACACGACCGCTCGTCTTGATTCTCCACGGCGTGCTGGCCCACAAGGATCAGACCTACCACCGTCTGCTCGCGAAGCGCCTCGATGTCGACTCCCTCCGCTTCGACTTCCGCGGAAATGGAGAGAGCGGTGGCGAGTGGGGCATGGCCGATTACGAGGTGGGTGCATCTCTGGGCAACAGAGAGACCGGGCGTGGGAGAAGAGCGCCTCCTGGATGAAGAGCTGACGGATTGTGCGGTTTTTGGCAGAATGACATCGAGGACCTCGATACGGTGTTCCAGTACTTGAAGGAAAAGATGCCAATGTACAGGGTCGAACTCGTTGTGGGGCATAGCAGAGGCGCGCTCGTGGGATGGCGCTTTTGGGCGGAGAGGGGCACGTCGCAGCAGGTGCCGTATTGGGTGGCCCTGAGTGGCCGATGGAGGATGGACGTGAGTTGAAGCTCGTGCCAGTCTTGTGGATGTTCGAGGCCAAAGCTGATAGCGAGATTGGGGACTGCTAGAGGATCCACGATCGTGATCCCGTCTACAATCCAGCCTTTGAGAAGCAGGGCTTCTACGAATGGAAGGTGCGCGTCATGGGCCAGCCAAAGACGGTCCATGTCCGGCCATCGGACGTATCAAAGTTCGAACACTATCCCATCGAGTCGTACGTCTCGCGCTTTCCCAGCGAGCAGGATGTTCTCCTCGTGCAGGGGTCGAGCGACCAGACGGTTCCGACGGCAGATTGTGGCTACTACATCAATACACTCAACGCCATGAGGAGGAGAAACAATTCGACAAACCTGAGACTCATCGACGAGGCTGATCATAACTTCAAGGGACAGTGAGTGTCGATCTGCTTTTTTTTTCTCCCCGCCCGCAAACCACCTCTCACATTGTCTGATCATGGCGGTACAATCCTATCAGCTACGACGAGGTCGTCGACGTTGTCACCGCGTGGTATACTCGCAGGCGGGAGATGGCCAAGCAAGGCAACAAGGACGTCTCGCCCATCGCACTTGCGCAGCAGCAACAACAACAAGGCGGAGGCTTTGGAAAAGGCAGGCTGTAGTATGATAGAGGTACTAGACATTGCAATGAAGCATTCATGAAAACAGAGCAACGCTCTAGGCCAAAAGCGAAGACATCTTGACGGGCTTTCGAACAGCGTTGGAGTAGCCTTCGTTGTAGTGATAAAAGACTTTGAGCTTCTTGACCTTCCTCTCTTTCTCCTCCTCTTCCTCCTCTTCGGCATCTGGACCCACTTCCTGGCCTTGAGCAGAAGTTCTGTTCTTCCTCGCATCGAGGATCGACTGTGGCAGTTCTGGACCTTTGGGCCTGTCTGCCTTGGCCTTCTTGACAATGACCCGTCCAAAGAAGTCAACGGCAGCCTTTTCTTCGATCTTCTTTGGGTTGACGTTCTCCTTCTCCTTGTCATCGACAACCGTAGTCGGCTTCTTCCTGGGTCCATCGATGGCCGCCTGCGCCTCCTCGACTGCTTCTCTCTTCTTCTTGATCCTGAGCTTCTCCAGCTCCGCCCTGACCAGCTGTCTCACGTTGAATCTGGCAGGGCCGACGCTGTCCGACTTTTTCCCTTCGTACTGCACAAACGCTTCTAATGAGGGCTCGAGGCGGTAGATGGTTTGCCCCTCCTCCGTCTTGTCCATGACAAAGTCAAGCTGGAGGTTGTGCATGAGCTCGACGAGCTGCTGGAGCGTCGAGCGTTCTTCATGCCGAACCAACTGCGAGTTGATCTGTGAGGCCGGAGCGTAAGTTCAGGTAGTGAGGAGGGAAGCGCTGACCAACTCACCATCTTCAGATCGGGTGACAACATTCTCATCAGTGTCGGTCCCAGCTCTGTGACGATTGCCAGCTCCCCAAATTGGGTCCTTGTCACTGCCGGCAAGCATCCAAGCAAGTCCCGCGTCACTTCATCGAATGCCGATCGCTTGAGATAATTCTGGTGAAGATGTATAGGTCAGCTGATGCAGGGGAGGGAAGAGAGAGAGACAGGGAAGGTTCGCTCACCTGATAGTCGACCCGCGGATACTCTGGCAGAGCATTACTCGTGTTGGCAAAGAGCCTCTTCCAGATCACGAAGCTCCACGGCAAGTATTGCCACAGCTCCGACGTTCCCCCCGACAACTCCCATCCCCTGTTGTTGAGCGTCTCAAACCAGTGGATCCATTCGTGAGCCTTTGAGAAGCGCCACCAGCCTTCGTCGGGAGGCGAGAGGTTGGGATAATGTTCGAAGCATCCGGCGAGAACCTTGTCCATGTCTCCGCTACCCATGATCGTCTGAACCAGCTTCGACGTCTGCCCTGCCTCGTCAAGCCTGCCAGGACCCGACTGCCGGGCTCGCTCCTTAGGAGAAGGCGCCCGAAAGAGCTGAGACCAGACCATGTGAATTGATGTGGAGCCGTCCTTGACACCAAGAGCGGCCGCCACGGGATTGGACGCATCGCCTTCTTCGTTGGAGGAAGTGCGCAGGTCGCTGGCCAGAAGACGGGCAGTAGGACCCGCTGAGTTGGCCTTGACAAGCTGGAGCGCATTGAGACAGGATCGAATATCGCCTTGACACAGCTGTACAAGCAGCGACAAGGATCGAGTGTCGGTCTCGATGGTCTCGTTTGTACAGATTGCCTTGAGCCGGGCTACGAGGTGATTGGATGCTGGTCGATTGACCCTGATGAGCTTGCTGTGTGGCCGCAGCGCCCGTAGGCTGGGAGCGTATCTAAGGAAAGGAAGAGGCGGGTGAGCGTAAAGGAGTGATTAAAAAGAGGACAAAACTCACGGGTCGTTGCAGATGCAAATGATGGGCCTTAGCAACGGGCGATGCTTTTGCTTCTTGGACTTGGACCTGGCGCCATTGCTGCTGCCCGCGCCCCTTTCTACGAGCTTGACGAGGGCCTTGATGAATCCACCGCCTTCGTCTCCTCGTCCGCCTGTCGCTCCATCAATCTCGTCAAGGACCAGGCAGGTAGGCTTCTCCATCGCGCTCCCTCCCATCAGGCTCTTTGTTTCGAGTGCCTCCCTCACCCTGTCTTCGACGGTCGAGGTGGATCGGTCATCGCTGGCGTTGAGTTCGTGGACGAGATAGCCGCAAGCGTTTGCGACGACGTGCGCTAGTGTCGTCTTGCCCATGCCTGCGGGTCCACCCAAGAGCAACACCCTCTCCTTGGGCCGTCCCCATTTGTCCGGCACCGGCGCAAATCTGTCCGTTCCTGTCCCGAACTGCGGCTGAGCAGCGGCCATCATCTTCTTTCGTTTGTTCATCAGTCGATTTTTGCGCCCAAAGACGCATGCATCCCAATCTTTGAGCCAGGCCATGACTTCTCGGTGCGTGCGCTCTTCGCCCACAAGCTCGGTGAATCTCTTTGGCCGGTATCGCTCTTGCCACATCTCCATTCTTGTTGTCGGTTTCTTGGCCTTCCCTTTTGCCTTGCTGCTTGCAAGTTCTTCGTCTTGATCGACGACTGCCGCAGCGTTCTTGGCAAGGATGCTGTCGACGATGTGATGGACTGGCCTGCTGAGAAGTCCAGTCTGCCCTGCTCCATAATGAACCGGTTTCGGCTGGCGTCGCTGCTTTTCAGTACCACTGCATCCTCAAGTGCACACCAAGCGTGTGTTCCACTCACTTTGTAGGCCTTCATCCTCCTCCTCTTTTCGAAGCGAACCACGCTGCCGTCGAGCAGCGTCGCGGTAGCCAATCCTACAGGGAGGTACTTTGGGATCCCATTCATCCCCACAGGTCCCCTGTCGCGCTCCAGCTCCTCGTCCTCGTCCTCCTTGTCCTCGACCTGCACCACCTCTGTCCTCGCTAAACGCGCCGCACTTGTGCTTGCCTCTCCCCGCATCACAACCGAATGTCTCGCCACCGTCCTACTGGATGTTGCGGGTGTACTTTTCGTCGTGTCGTTTGCTCTCGTCTTGACCGATGATGGATCCAAGAACCCGTTACTTTCGAGTAATCCGCCTTCCTCTTCGTCTTCTGCCTCCTCTTCCATGGCTCCAACATGCGGACCTCGCCCGTCCTCCTCATCTTCGGGTGGTTCCTCGTCCCTTACATCTTCGTCCTCGTCGGCAAAGTCCTCGGGCGGCTCCTGTTCCTCCCGCTCCATCTCGATCATCCGATCGAGATCAAAGGGTTCCTCCTCCCCCTCCCCCTCGTCGTCCAACATGGACCCAAACGAAGTCGGCTTCCTAAAGAGCTCGTCGAGCGCCTTTTGCGGGCTGCTCTCGTTGCTCATGCTCACGCTCATGCCGCCGCCTTCCAAAAGACTCTTTGGTCCAGAGAGTGGGCGCGTTGCTCCATCGGCCGTGCCAAAGAAGCCTGCATCCTCGAGAAAGTCGTTAGCGTCCTCTCCCTCGCCAGAAGTGATGTCGTAGAGGTGGCTACTGGGCAGCGGTAGCTGCGTGCCACCGCCGCTGCCACTGGTGCTGCTGCTGCTGCTTTCGACCAGTGCGAACGCCATCGGGTACAAGGCGTCTTCAAAGGCGAGAGTCGAGACAGAGACAGAAGAACACGGCGCGAAAATAATGTGGAAAGAGGCGCCAACCAACACGCGCGCTTTTCCCAAGACGCGTCGCTCTGATTTTTTCCCTCGCATCTCGCACGGCCAAAAAAGGTCGAGATCACACACGCATGCACAGCGACAAGCAAAGAGGGCCGGCTGATTTTTCCTTGACGGCGGTCAAGTACTGTAGTAGACAGAAGCGCTGATATTGCAAATTGTAAGGAAGAGTGAGGAGACTGAGTGAAGCTAGTCCATTTCCATTGGCACTCCGCCGCCGTCTGCCACGCCGACGAGGCGGGCCTTTTCCTCCTTGTCTCTCCGTTTCTTGGCCTCTGCCTCTGCCTTGACCTTTTCCCGCTCTCTCCGAATGCGCTTCTCGGCCACACGAATCGCCTCTCTCAGCTCGCCCGCACCGGGCGTGGCTGCTACAGCATCGGGCTGGAAGCCCAGCTCGTTGCGGACGAAGCGCTTCGTAGTGGGTCCAAGCACGGCGATCCGCGGAAAGCCATCAGGTGGGCCGGCACTCAACCATGTCTTTCGCTGGCCCGTCTCTGTCTCTGACGCGGCCTGACCCTCCTTGTGGCCGTAGTCGGGTGGCAGCCATCCTCGTCTTCTCAAATCGGCCAGTGCGTACTGCAGGCCGCTGGGCGAGAAGAAGACGAGCCAGTCCGGCCGGGTGCCTGGACCGGTGCCCAGGCCAATGTCGACGTCAAGGGGAAAGGGCGATTCGTCAATGGGAGAGGAGACCACCGCCGAGGAGGTCGGGAGGCCATCCTTGCCCGCCATCGGCGTCATGGCCGAGAGGCCCTGAAGGCCCATGGCGTTGTTGAGCGGCTGGCCCGACGCCACAGCCGCGCCAGCGCCTGCCAGCGGTCCCTCTGCCGCGGCAAGGCTGTTCTTCCTCCTCGCAATCTGCCCTTCGGCGCCCGACAGGGGCGACCCTCCACCTCCTGCGCCCCAGAGGCTGCCCACACTTGGTCTTCGCGTACTGCTGTTGCTTCCACTGCGACTGCCCCTTCGACTGCCTGGCCGGCTCTGCGGATTAGGCGGCAGGCTCCTCGACAGGGCGTCACACGATGGTCCAAAGTTGCTGTCTATGCTTGTCTCGTACACCTGCAGCTCCTCAAACGGAATTGGTGGCTTGGCCGCCTTAAGCGCATCGGGGATCGTCGGCGCGTTTTTGTCCCCAGTGAGGAGCAGTAATGGCGGTGGCGGCGGTGCGTCGTCGGTGGTCATCTCATCGCCGGGCGCTGCACCTGCTGGCCCATTAAAGTGCCGGATCACGTAGGCGGCCAGGGCCTCACCCGTGCCAGTGGCACCTGCGCCCATGACGAGCGAGGTGCGAATCGGCTGGAGGATCTGCTTGGCCAGAGCACGGAGCGCCTCCCCCGTCGCTGGCCCCACGGCAAAGAATGGCGATCTCGGCCAGTTTGTCACTGGTTCTGTGGAGAGTCACCTTACGCCGTCAGCCAAGTGCGATTCCATGGCTCGATCCAAAGGCACAGCTAGCACTCACTCTTGCCCTCGCGAAGCTCCTCCGACAGGGCGCTCGCCGCCTGTGCCCACGCTTCGACGGCTCTTTGACTTGTGATGATGGCGCCTCGGTACGGCGCCCCGTTGCTGTCGCCGTGCATAATCTTCTTGGCCAGCGTGTCGCAGTTGAGGAGCGTATGCCCGAGAATCGGGAAGCTCGTCACGCAGAACTCGCGCTTCGGCACCTCGTCTTCGTCATCGGCGTCAAAAGACGAGGCAGCAACGGCGTCGGGGTCCGGTGCCAGGTGGTGCGTGGTGAGCATAGCCTCGTCGTCGATCCACCGGCCTCGCCGCCTGCCCGTCTTGCTCGAGCTCAGCGCGCTCTTGAGCAGATCGGCGCCTGACCGATCACCGGGCGACATTGACATGACGCCAATCGGCGGCGGCAGCGGCGTTGAGGAGCCCGACTCCAAGGCCGAGAGGGGAAACGAGGGCAGGCAGAATGGCCCAAAGGCATCGTGATACGGATCGGTGCCCTGCGACGGAGGCACGGGGGTCCGGAACAGGAGGATCGCCGTTGGTCGCTGGAAGATGACCGATTGCAGCTCCGTTGGCGCCAGGACCGGCGTCGACATTTCTCTTTTTTCTTGTTGGCTTGCTCTCTTTTCTCTTTCTCTGCGCTCCTTCCCACCGAGACGGCGCTCTGATGCCCCAAGGTGTTCCGCTCCTCCGTGCAGCCAATCTGTCCCAAGTCGCTCGGACCCCCCTCCCTTTCTCTTTTCCCGCTCTCTCTCCTTTCCTTTCTCGGCTACCCCTGGGTGCACGCGCGCGCGTGCAGAGGCCCGCGATGTGCGTTGACAAGGCGGCAGCGATGGCCTTGGTTGGTTATCGTTAGAATTGTCGTGAAGTGAGGGTCGTGCCGACTGTTCATTTTTTAGTCTCCAAGGCCAGACCACCCGGGCTTGTCACGTCAGGCACCGCGCTTCTGCGACAGAGGGGCGCTTTAACGGACGGACCTCCACGTGCAATCGGCGCCTTCTCCGTGCCTTGGCCCTAGATTCACGGTTGAGTCATGCAGGCAACTGGCTTTCGTCGTCACCCCATTCTGAGTGACGATTTCGCCCAAGCTTAGACGACGTGGCCGTTATAGAGAGCGTGAAGCGACATGGCGAAGCTGCCGCAGCCCTTTGATGACTACATCGTCGACACGGACAAGGCCCATTTCGACTATGACGCGGCGTGGGACTGGCTGTGAGGCCACTCGCGCCTTCCTTGCTGCTCTCTCACCCTTGTCTGATCACATTGAGGTCCCTGCTTTACAACAGGCACAATCATGCATACTGGGGCAAGACGCGCACCCGCCCAGAGATGGACGTCCAGTTTGACAACTCCTTCATGGTAAGTAAGGAGTTGGCAAGGCCAAAATATGGAGACGCACGCTTCGTTGCTGGGCGGGGCTAATCATCTCAAGCCTTGCACAAACAGGTCTTTGGACTCTTTGATCGCGACGGTAAAATGGTTGGCGCGGCTCGCGCAATTGGGGAGCCAATAAGTATCTGGCCATTCCGTCCGCACCTTGGATCACAGGCTGACTTTTCGACTCATTTTCGCTAGCACAACCTAGCCTACCTGTCCGACGTCTATATCCTCGAGTCGGTCCAGGGCAAAGGACTAGGTAAGGCTTTTCTCGGCTTCGTTTTGAATGCAGAAGGCAGGAAGAAGGTGAGTCTGAGAGCTGAAACGATTGAAGACGCGCTTGCTGAACAGATGCTCTGCAGTGGAGCTGGTAAGTGTTGTCGCTACTTGTCGGTGCGTTGCAGGGGTCTTAGAAAGCATATTCTCCCAGGGTCTGCCATGCCAGTCGCATGAAGGATTGGTGAGTGGGATTCTGCTGTTCCAAAACATGAAGCACGCAGGAGAACTGAGTCGGGCCAAAATCTAACAGGTACGTCAAGGTGAGATCTGCTTCACACGCGCCCGAGTCGGGCGACATCTGCTGAGCGTCGAGCTATGCCAAAGTACTTTGACTTCTACGACATCGGCGAGACGCAGCGAATGACGGACCAAGGGCTCAATCATAGTAAGAGTGGCCTTTCGATAGCTCGAATCGTATTCGGGATGCTTATATTCCGATCAAGTGCTCGAGAGAGTCGGCAAGATCGTATATCCGGAGGAGGTCTGACAGCACGGGCTAGTACGCGACCGCTCCCAATAGAAGCGTGAATATGTCAGCGGCCAAGGGCACGCTCTCCTGTCTGTGTGCAATCTAGCCGCAATTTTGCTCAATCTTGGGGCCGCCCGGTCCGCCGCCTTGTGCCTGCCTGTGGCTTGATAGGGATAGCGGACAGGGCTTTATTATTGGCAGTAATGCACTTGGACAAGGCCTTCGCTTACCGCGCGTAAGTCTTCTTATCGTTAGCGACGCTTAGGCTCGGCAAGGAAACGCTTTATCTCTTGAGGCATTATGCCTGAGCTAATTTCCACACACAGACGTAATATGAGATGGGTTGTGCCTTGCTCGTCGGTTAAAAGGGCTAGCCACCTCGACGCAATTCACGTTCGTCTCATCACCCTCAACCCATTGATCAATTTGCCCCACACCCTCGACGAGACAGAGTTCCACTATGGCGCCCGCAAAGGTCCTCTCCAGGTCGGCCGCCGTCCACCCGCTGGACCCGCCCCAGCCTGAAGAGGTGAGTCTTTTCGCAATCTAGATTGCCCCTGTCAAAGTGGCGGCGGAATTGACGCATTCCCGCCTCCTCCCTCCCCCTCTTCTTTGCTTTGCTTTTTCCCACCAGATTGTTGCCGCCTCGTCTGCCGTGCGTCAGGCGCTTGGCACAAAGGGTGTCAAGGCACAGCGCTTCACCAACGTCTTTCTCAAGGAGCCACCCAAGGCCGATGTCATCAAGCATGGCTTCTTCCCCGAGAAGTCAACCGAGCCAGGCGCTGGTCCCGTCAAGCCAAGTGGCCTCCCGTCGCGAGAAATCTTCCTCCACGTCATCAACCTCCTCGATGGCCGGTCGTACGAGGCCGTGGTGAACCTCGACGACATCGATGAGCCCAAGGTCGTCGATGTCAAGCAGTTGGCCGAGGGCGTGCAGCCGGCCATCACCGTCGAGGAGCTCGTGCTGAGCGAGGAGCAGATGCGCAGGGATCAGCGCGTCATCGATGCTGCCAAGGCTGTGGGCGTCTCGGTGGAGCAGCTCCACGCCGATGGCTGGAGTATCGGCTGGGACGAGCGCTTCCCCGGCAAGCGCGTGCAGCAGTGCATCACCTTTGCCCGGTACGGCAAGGACGAGAACCTGTACGCGCACCCGCTCGACTTCAACGTCGTTCTCGACAATGTCACGGGCGAAGTACTGGCCATCGACTACCCCGCACACCGATCGACCAAGACAGGCAAGCTTGGTGTCTCGACGAAGCCGCCGACGGAGGCGTCCTTTGACAAGCCAGAGGGGCGCGAACGCATCCCGCCACCGCTGGAGCGCCACGACTACCTGCCAGACCTGGCCAAGCGCGCCGGATCCGACAAGCCCATCGAGATGCGCCAGGATCTCAAGCAACTGTCGGTGGTGCAGCCCCAGGGCGTGAGCTTCCACCGCGAAGGAAATGTCCTCGAGTGGCAAAAGTGGAAGCTCCACGTCGGCTTCCACCCCCGCGAGGGCATCGTACTCAGCACCATCTCATACAAGGACGATGATGTCCCAGGTGCCAGCAAGGCCGCACCCAGCGAGAGGCCACTCTTCTACCGCCTGTCGCTCAGCGAGATGGTTGTCCCCTATGCCGAGCCTGCACACCCACACTACCGCAAGTTTGCCTTTGACGTTGGCGAGTACGGTCTCGGCTACATGGCCAACTCGCTCTCGCTGGGATGCGACTGCCTCGGCTCAATCGAGTACCTCGACGGTGTCATTGCCAAGCACGACGGCACGACCGAGACGCTCAAGAATGTCATTTGCATCCACGAGGAGGACGCAGGCCTGCTGTGGAAGCACACCGACTACCGGCCCGATGGACGGGCGCACAACGTGCGAAACCGCAAGCTGGTCATCTCCATGGTCTGCACCGTGGCAAACTACGAGTACCAGTTCAACTGGAACCTGCACCTGGACGGCAACATCGAGCTCGAGATCAAGCTCACCGGTATCCTCAACCTCTACCAGCTCGCCCAGGGTGAGAGCACGGGCGGCTACGGCGTCGAAGTCGCGCCTCGCATCAACGCCCACCTGCACCAGCACCTCTTCTCGCTGCGTGTCGACCCGCACATCGACGGCGCCCTCAACTCGATTTCGGAACAGACGATTCGTGCCGTCGAGGCGCCCTCTGGCTCCGACGAGAACTGGGCCGGCAACGCCTTCACGGCCAACCAGCGCATCCTCCAGACGACGGGCGAGGGCGTGCGCGATGCCAACTTTGACGAGGAGCGCAGCTGGACTTTCGTCAACGAGGCGTCCAAGCACTACTCGAGCGGCAAGCTGAGTGGGTACAAGGTCATGTGCAAGGACATGCCCCGTCTCTACGCCAAGCACGACAGCATCACGGCCAAGCGCGCACCCTTTGCAAAGCACCACATCTGGACGGTGCCCTACGAAGACGCGCACAAGTACCCCGCGGGCATGTACGTGCCCCAGACGCTCGATGCGCCCGAAGACTCGATTGAGAAGTGGGTCGGCGACGGCAGCAAGTCGATTGCCAACAAGGACATTGTCAGCTACATCACCCTCGGCACCACGCATGTGCCCAGGCCAGAGGACTTCCCCGTCATGCCCGCAGAGACGGTCCGGCTGATGCTCAAGCCCGTCAACTTCTTCCGACGCAACCCGACGCTGGACGTGCCCAGCACTGCCGACGCACAGAGCACGGCCGCGGGTGCTGCCAACGGCAACGGTGCTTCGTGCTGCTCGTGATCTCATCCAGCGACCCAGCTGCTAAGTTACCCCCCTGTTGATCGCTTTTGTCTGTACATTTCTTTCCGACTTGTGTCCTTCAGCCTCTTGGTTGTTATCCCTCACCCTGTCTCATAAAATGGTCCTATCGAGGTCACGATGCAGAATGACGATGATTCAAGAACCCAGTACTACTACTAAACAACAAAGAGAGGGAGCACGATCACAGAAGAAGAGAGACAGATAGGGTAAAGCAATCACAAGCGGTAGACGACATCTTGGCTGAACATGACCTCGCTGGCCTCGTTCATGGCCTCGAGCGCCGCTCTGGCCTCATTGATGTCGTAGAGGTCCCTGGCCTGCAGGCCCTGGTTGAGGATGGGCAGCAGGCCGTCAAGCTGCATCGACTCTTCCTCTGCGAGCGGGCCTTGGCTCGACATTGCGTCGGCCAGCCTCGCGCGGAAAGCGTCGATCCGGTCCGACGAGATGATCGCCGCCGATGAGCCAGAGCCAGCGGGCGGACGGGCGGGGGAGCTCTGCTGCGATAGCGGAAGGTCTCTGGCAGGCGTCGCGCGAGGGTTGGCAACGTGTGCCGGACCGGAGGCTTCAATGTCACGCATCGCCTCGAGGGCTTCTGCGTCTTCCTCGTCGTCCTCGTCCATGACGAGTTCTCCATCGGGGTCGAACGCCCCTGCCGTCGCCCGTCCTTTGCCCTTGGCAGGGCTTCCGCCGCTCTGCGTCAGACCCCTCGTCTGGTAGGCGCCTGTGCCCTTGTACGCCGGGGTGCGCGGGACGTCCTTTGCTCGCGCCACCTCGTCGTCCTCTTCGCTCTCACCGGCCTCGGGCATGCCGTCCTCGTCGCTGTCGCCCTCGTCGCTGCTGTCCGAGTCTGGGCTCTTGCTTCCCCTCTCGGTCCGCCTCTTCTTGTTCGTCTTGCCCTTGCCGGTCCGAATGACCTCCTTGAAGAGGGCAAACCTGAGAATCTCCTCTGCCACCTCTGCGTCTCGCTCGTCGACCTTGCTGCTCAGCCTCGACTTGGCGTGGGCCGTGGCGAGACGGATGAGCGTCTCGAGCGTCCTGGCCGTCAGTGGGCTCGTCTTGCGCTGGTTACCCGCCAGCTCGTCGTTTCGAAGGTTGGCATACACGTTGACGATCCATTCGGCGGCGCCCTTTGTCATGACGGGGTGAATGCGCTGCTTTGCGTACTGGATGTACTTCTTGACAAAGGCGATGCTCAGCACCTCTTTTTTCTTGTTGCTGCTGCTGGAAGACCCGCCAGACTCGTTACCTGCGGTGATGCCGGCGTGGAGCAGGGCATTGTATTTTTCGTAGGGCGAGGTGTCGCCGAGCATGGCGGCGCCATCTGCGTCGGTGCCCTCCGAGGGCGCACCCATGTCGAGCGCCTGATCGAGGTTGTCGCGAGCGGGTTGGCCCTCGTCGAGGCCTGGCTGGAGGTAGCGATGCATGCGCAAGACGTGCTCCGAGATCATGCGGTCGCGCTGCTCGTCGACATCGTCCGTCACGACAAAGAGCAAGTCGAAACGCGAGAGGAGCGAGTCGGGCAGCGCAATGTTTCGATGAGGGTCCTTGTGCACGTCGTACTGGCCGTAGATTGGGTTGGCGGCAGCAATGACGCTGCACCGAGCGTTGAGGCTGGTGTGGATGCCTGCCTTTGCAATCGTCACCGTCTGCTGCTCCATGACTTCGTGAATGGCCACGCGGTCCACGTCGGACATCTTGTCAAACTCGTCGATGCACACCACGCCACGGTCGGCAAGCACCATGGCACCAGCCTCGAGCCTCCTTTCGCCCGTCTCCTTGTCGCTCGTCACAGCCGCTGTGAGACCGACACCACTGCTGCCACGGCCCGTCGTGGCAATCGCAAGCGGAGCAGTGTTGAGGACGAAGCGAAGCATCTGGGACTTTGCCGTGGAAGGGTCGCCCACCATGAGAATGTTGATGTCACCACGGATGTGGGTGCCGTTGGCCAAATTCTTCTCCTCACCACCCAGCAGCAGCAGTAGCACGGCCTTCTTGATGTAGTCGTGGCCGTAGATGGAGGGCGCAAGGGACTGCGACAAGAGGCTAAAGACGTTCTTCTTCTTCTTGCCAATCTTGTTGATGTTGCGGATGTCTGTGTCGGTAATGTGGGCGGCCGCAATGCCACCGCCGGCCTTGGACGAGAGGAGGCTGATGTTGTTGCCAAGCATCAAGGTCCTGATGGGGAGGAAGAAAAGAGGGAGCATTCATGTAAGCAACCATCTCTGTGTGAGGAAGTAGAGGAAGACGATGTGCTCACTTGAAAGTGGACGTGCTGCTCTGGCCAACGCGATTGCCCAAACTTCTGAACATGCCCACGAGCTGAATGCGGTCGCCTGGCTTGCACCTGTCGACGAGATCATCATCCATAACGACGTCGATGGAGCGCGGCAGCTGTCCGGGGGGCGCGCGCTCGGGCATTTCTTGGATGCTGATCATCTGATGGTCTCGGAAGATGCTGTAGCCGAACTCTGTAGTCAAGGGATTTCCATCGGGGTCTTGGGTCGGATAGGCCGTCGACGAAGGTGGCAGGTTGCCCAACATGGTCGCGTCGCGATAGTCGCGCGAGTAAAACGTGCTAGTCTTCTCTGCGTAATGGACCGACTTGATGATCTTGGGCCGAACAAGGGAGCCTTTACAAGAACAGTGTAAGCGAAGCTCTGACCCTGAGCTCGCGCATGCAACTTACATCTAGTGACGATGCCTTCGAGGCTTACCATCTTGCCGAGGTGCACGCTTCTTAGCGTCCGAGGGTTGACGTGATGATCGCCAAAGCTGCCTCGAAGGCCGATGTAGAATTGCTTCTGGCTGATGTCATCCTTGAGCGGGTCGCGTAGCAGTTCAACGAGACTTCGCAGCGCGGCGTCAAAGGCGGGAAGGAAGTCGTTGGGCTCGTCCAGAAGGCCCGTCGCGAACTCGCGGTTGAAGGATCGCACCTCGTCAATGTTGACGATTAGCCGGCGCTCGTCGGCCCGAAGCATCTTACGACAGGCATCGCGATGGTCCGACAGACCCGGGTGTTCGCTCTCGAGGAACTCACTCGCGATGCGAACGCGGTCCTTGTAAAGGTCGTCGGCCAGCACAGGCACCTCAAAGTCGATGTCCGCCATGGTGGTGCTTTGGTCTTTGTAAGGGGAAGGAAACGGGCAGCGCTGTTGTTGTTCGACCCGTCGAATTAATTGCCGCGTCGCGACGCGTTCTGCCACGCGGAAGATGACGGAATTCGGAAGTTTGCAACCTTGGCCAACTCCAAAAAAAATTGGAGACAAACCAAAAAAACTCTTGCGCGAAGGGAAAGAGAAGAGGTTTCATCGACTGACGAAGGAATGGCGCTGCGAACAAGAGCTTCGTCGAGGAAGGCAGAATACCCACGGGAGGAGATGGTCGATGCAGTTCCCAGTGAATCCCCAGCTGAAGAAGGTGCGGATGACGATGAGTCAGGGCCCGAAGAGGAGAGCAACGTGAAGAGCCGGGCAGCTGCCAAGCAACAGACGAAGAAACAGAGGGAGGCCGAGAAGATGTGGGTACCTTGTTCTCATATAGACATCCTGAGTCTGTGACGCTGACATTGCCAACACAGCAAAAGAGAGGCAAAGGCTGCTGTGAATCGAGGCCGGGATGAGGCTAGAGAGACGAGGCAGAAGGACCTCGAGACGAGAAAAAGCGCCCAGGAACCCTCGGCGGCGGACTTCAACGAGGATGACGCTGTCCAGGATAGTGATGAAGAGGGACCTACAGGAGGGCTAAGTGAAGAAGATGAGACAGGATCGAGCATCGAGGGGAGTGAAGAGGAGGATGAAGCGATGTACGACGTCGAAGAGGATGATCTCGACGCCGATCTAGATGAGGACATGTCATCTGGCTCCGAAAGTGGCGCAGAGCTTCCAGTGAGGGAAGACAGCGAGAAAGAGAGTCGAAAACCAGCTCGGGAGCAGGCAAAGACGATCGCATCATCAAAAGGGAAGCCGAGTGTGGACAAGGCGGCCGCAGAAGAGAGTAATCCAGACAAGCTGGATCCTTCTCTCTTCTTTGCTTCCTTTTCCAAGGATCGCCAACGCCCTTCGAAGCCGTCATCGGTGGGAACAAAAATTAAGTTTTCAGAACTTGATGAAGAGGAGGCATCATTCCGGAGACAAGAGGCTGAACGGGAGCGAAGAAGAAAGATCAAGAGAAAAGGTGGCGTCGTCAAAGGACGCGATGGTCAGCCGATGAGGAGGCTGAAGGATGGGCGGACAGTGGTACGAGCGTCGGCTCCTTCCGCAACGAATGGCGAAGAGGTCGGGGCAGATTTACTTGGCGAGGAAAGACTAGCACCTCACCGACCTTTGGACTCGTTCGAAGCGCAGCCAAGCAAGGGGGTCAGAAACTTTAAAGAGCGCAAGCTTGGCTTCTACAACAAATCCCATCCGTCACAAGCGACTAGTGAACAGCCGCGGAAGAAGCAAAAGTTCAATGATGACCATGGTGATCTCGACGCTTTCATGCTCGGTGGCATAAGTAGCGGCAGGCTCACTGGCAAGAGAGAGAGGTCGGACAAGGGGAGCAAGCCAAAGAGGCAAGGAGACTCTGGCAGGAATCGACGTCCAGCTCCCACCTTTGGCTTCGCCCGGTCTTGAAACTGCGTCGAGACACTCACTGTGTATACTTAGATTTACAAATCAGAGGATTGCGTTCGCAATTCACATATATTGACCAATCTTCCTGTCCTTTGGAGGTCCAGCTCAGACTTATTGGACCAGTCGTTTATAGCTCCTGAAGAAGGCCGGAGCTAGGGACGCAGAAAGATGAGTAGAGAAGTTCTTTGCATCTTATTTGAACAATAAACATCTAGAAGAATTTGGCGGCCGAGGAGCTCAGTCATCGACTGCGAGAGAAACGAGGGGAAGGGTGAAGTAAGAGGTAGAGGGAGTGAAGAAGGAACCAAAAGCAAGGTAGTATGCGATGAATGCCGTGGCGATACCGAGACCGCCACCTACAATGTTCTGTCAGCTCTCTTGTCTCTCTTTCTCTCTTGGGAAAACCACACATACCGGCAGTTTGGAAGTGAGGGTTTCCAGTGTAGTAAAAGGCGCCGAGGAAGGCAAAGGTCAAGTCGAGCACGAAAAGGAGCACGGCAAGGGCCACACTTGATCGCACACTGGCGATGAGGAAGATGGTCGTGATGCCAAACCAAATCCAGAGGAAGAGGCCCACGGCCGATTCCATCTCGCCAGGCGAAAGTCCACCCTTGGCGTAGACACCCGGTACGCCATCGTACGAGCCTGTCTCGCCGAAGAAGGGAATGAAGATGAAGCTGAAGCCCCACCAGAACATTCCGTATGAGACGAAGATCGAGGCACCCAGGGTGTTGCCGCTAGCGAACTCCCAGAGACCGGCGAGCCACTGAGTGAAACTGCAGATTTTGGGATGAGAGGTTTGAGTAAGCATTAAATGCTTTTAATGATCTCACTCCTCGCACTCACCCTCCGTAGAACAGACTGAAGGCGACAATTGCATTGGGGACCTTGATTCCTTGTACTCCGACGTTGTATAGCGAGAGGACCAAGGTCGTCGTAGCGAAACTGTGGGCGAGCTCTTCCGTCAGCAAAGAGGAATCTGGTCTTGCATTCATTCCTACTCACGACATGGCACCCAGAGGAAGAGGATTGGCCAGCTTACGATGGCCGGCGCCCACTGCAAGAAGGTCATCGTTGGCCGGATGACCACCGGGAGTAATGGCTGATGTAGAGTATCAGACGCTGGACAACGTCAGAAGCAAGGCCGCGACAACTCACTGCGCGAGACGTTGTTACCGCCAGTAAAGCCCGCGCCGTCCTGGTAGCCACTGTAACCGTTGCCGTTGTAGCCTTGCGTCTTCTTTTGGGACTCGGCGTCAATCATGGTGTTCTCGGCATTGTGCCCAGCGTTGTTAGCGACCGACATTGCGTTCAGTCAAGGTGGTGTGGTATGTGCAAAGATGCGTGTGACGAGAAGGAAGAAGGAGTTCAGACGAAAGGGTCTGTCTTCTCCGTTACGGTCTTCTCCAACCTCGTCTCCCAGGTTTTCTCTGGATCGTGTGGGGCAGGAGATTGCTTCAATTTGTTTTCAGATGCCTGGTTCGCCTTGGCTGTCCATCCGGACACCGATGCAGACGGGCAAGCTGCCGGGCATCGAATGATAATGAACACTGACGACTGACGGCAGCCCCTAGCAAGGCAAAGCTTCTGGGAATGTGCGCTCTATCTCCTCCTCGATGGCCGAGGAAGTAGTCTTTCCCGCTCCACTTAACGCATGCAATTTGTCCTACCCCACAGTGCAAGTACCACTTATCTTCAGTGGTTTAGCCCCGCCTCCACTCCTTAGCCTATGAGAGGCGCGCCTAAATTGACTTTTCCCCACGAAGGGGAAGGGAGCAGGGTCTGCATTGGGCCGCGGACTCCAGATGCGTACTGATGGCAGGAGAAAGAAGGATTGTTGTCGGCCCTTCAGAGCTTGGACGCTTGTCTTTCTGGATCGATTGGTGATGAGGTCCCTAGAGCCCCACAAGGACTTTTGTGCTTGCTAACTCCCCCGGCCATCCCTTTCCTTCGCAACTTCCTTTCCTCCTAACCATTGCTCGAATTCTCGTCGTCCATTTCGTACACCATAAACAATCCTTCACAGCGACAACAATGAGCCGCACACTTTCAGAGCAGCTGGGTTTCAAGCCTGACCCTCGTGAGTCGAAGCTTGAGCCGTGACACGATGCTGAGCTGACAGAAATACATTGATAGATGCGCCTGAGCATATCACGCATGGCGGCCAGAAGCTGACTCGAGTCTATACCAAGGGCGGACACGAGCTCGACAGCCAGCAGAAAGGTCTCCCCGTCTACCATCGCAGGATCGCCAACCCTTACCCAGTCTTTGCCATCGGTATCGGCGCCTCGCTCTTGACCCTGGGCCTCGTCTTTGTTGAGGCCCGAGGCCTGCAGAACCCGCAAATTCTGCTCAACATCGGTCTGCCTCTCGGTGGCATTGGCGTCATGACTGCGGCAATGTTTTCCTTTGCTGAGGGTAACACCTTCTTGGCCACGGCTGCTGGCACTCTTGCTGGCCTGGTCGGCGGAATTTCCCTCGTCTTTTTGCCCTGGACGGGCATTCAGCAGGCGTACCTCGAAGAGGCAAACGGCGATGTTGTCATGGGACTGGCCGAACTCAACAAGGCCGTTGCTTTCCTCTTCTTTGGCGCAATGATTCCTGTCTTTGGCCTGGTGAGTCGGCCCTTTCTGCAGAAGCCCGAATAAAATGACTCCAAATTGACACTCCTCTTCTCCTTTGTACGCAAAAAAATAGCTCCTCGCCTCCTTCAAGACAGCTATCCCCCTCTCGATCTCCGCCTTGCTCATCGTGATCGCCCTCATCATCCAAGGAACGGCCTACTTGAACCCAATGGTTTCGCTCACAAAGACGGCGGGCGCCTTATTCATCATTGTCGGCATCCTCCTCTTCTACTCCGCCACGGCCGTCTTGCTCCAGGAAGAAGGCGTCAAGATTGTAAGTGTGCTCGAAGCACAAAGTCACCGCTGAATAAAGAACTAATCGCCTGCCCCTAATCTCTCTCAGCTCCCTGTCTTGCCCCTTCCCCGTATGGAGTAAGAGCAAACTACGCAGTCCCTTTCTTCAAAGCACACTTCCGGGCCCAGCCTCTGACTCGACGATCTTTGCGATTGTGCGATAGATGTTGCCTGCACGTTGCTGTACATAGAATGAAATGAGAGTCTTACGTGAAGACAAGCAGAGAAACAGGCACGATGAATGCAATGTTGTATTGAATGCACAATTGCTGCGTTAAGAATGAATGTTGAGCCTCGATTAAAGTGGAATATGATGATGACAAGGAAGGTGTGTAGGAGTAAGGAGCTAAAAGAAAATTCCGGGCGAGAGCCGGTTTGGGGGACTCTGAGGGGTTCCGGCCTCCGACGAATATGACCGAACTCGGTCGTCAGAGCGCACCTGAACATCATCTTCTCTCTTCCATCCGCCCAGATCCACGCCGTCCAACAGAACAGAAGAATGCAAAAGGGAAGAGCGGGTCTGGGAAGTGGAAGGAAGAGAGGGAAGAGGTCTCGATTGATCCAGAGCTGGCGACGAAGTCGTCGCTGCTTTGGACGCCATGTCTCGTCGTCGGCTCGGCGGCAAATCGAGCGCCACGAATGGAACCGTTGGCTTTTGTGGAGAGACACGGGACGTAGATGCGTGGTTGTCATGGCCATCAGGGTTCAGCTGAGTAGACGAGCCCCTCCTCAGATGCGCTAGACCAAGACCTCCTCCGGCTCCTGGTGACCATGAAGAAGATGGGGTCACAGACACCGATTGTCGAGGTGCGGCTGGAATCGGATTGGCTGGCGGCGGAGCAGGCTCCCCAAGCGATTCCCTCTTCGAGTGCCTGGGGCTCAGCTTGATCATTGACGGAGACCAATTTGCAGACTCGGATCGTGCAGAATGGAAGGAGGGCATTTCCATAGTGGGCAATGGCGACGTCAAACCTTGGTCAGAACCGCTTCGTTGGAGAGCAGTTCCCGCCGCCAGCGGCACTGACGACTGATTGCCATTCGAGAGCGGATCGAGCTCTGTCTGCGAGGATGGTGGTGTGTGGAACTCGCCGGGAGAGGGAGCCGAGCTTCTCATGTGGGGCGTGCTGGTGGCTCGATTAAATCCAAGAGCGGAAGGGAGGGAGGGGCTCGTGACAAGAGATGCAGAAGACGAGCGAGCGGTTGGTGATGAGGGTTGAGGAGGCTGGGGAAGAGTCGACCAATGGCTCGAAGACCCTGGCTGATTCGCCCATTCTCTGGCTACCCAGGCGCTTCGCTCCTTTCTCGGAGGGGTGCTGAGAAAAGGCGAAACATTGTTGGACGACAAGCTCGGTGTCCTGGGCATTCCACCCGAAGCAGCTGATGCAGCCACTGCCGAGCCAGCTGACGAGGGACCTGTGGGCGACCGAGTCTTCTTCTGCAGAAGCAACAGATCGCCCAAGATCTCCGTGTGCTCGTTGGACCGACTCTTGCTGAGGCTCTTTGAGCTCTTGTGCTTTCTCTGATGCTGTTCCGAGCTCTCGTTGCTGCCAGGTGAAGATGTTCCTGCCGGGCTTCCGGGCATGTCGGCCCGAATTGGCGTTCGAGGTGGCGATCTCTCCGGTGGAAGAGGGTTCGGTTCTGGGGGCGCTGGAGCAGGCATTGGTCCAAAGGGCGTAGGGTAGTAGACGGTCCGACCTTCGCGATAGGATCTAGCTGAGCTCGTCTGTGATGCGTACTCCTCCATGATGAAGGAAGAGGATGCCTCATCGCCTACGCCGCGATGTCGATTGGTGCGCGACTTTTTGCGCTTTGCTGCCATTCTTGGCGTGTTAGCACCTGACTCGTCCGCGCTCGGTCTTCCGTGCGTCGATACATTGGCAGAATCTGGCTGCCCGAAAGAGGCCTGGCTGGCCAATTGGTCGCCCGTCGGCCGAAGCAAAAGGGCTCCAGAGCGACCAGCATCCCTCATGATGCGGAAGCTCATCATCGTCTTTGCTCTTGGTTTGCCGTCCGGGGCTTGCTGCTGCTGCTGATCCCATGCGCTTCTCGAGATCGACACCGACTGCAATGTCGAATCAATCGTCTGGCCCACGCTCTCCGGAACGGCGGGCAAAGTCCTGGTCTTGTCGTGAGGGCTTGGGCCAGCCAAGGTCTTGGATCCTCCAGTCCCCGCACGAAAGGCAAAGGGCGAACGCTTGTGTCCTTGCCCCTTGGAGGAGAAGTCATCTTCGCGATAAGGTGCGTTGGCTGGATCGAGAAACCTTGAAAAGATGGCAAAGAAGGTAGCCGTCCCGAATGTTACGTTGCACCACGCCGTAGCCAGACAGACGGCATAGACGAGGTTGGTGATGTCTTCTGGTCCACGAATGCTCATCTCGTAAAGGTAACGAGCCAACGACGCAGACACGGCCAGGTAGACAGCCGCAGCCAGGACGATGCTGACGTAAAGGACGGTGAGGTTGACAAAACATCGCCGCAGGTAACGATAGCGAGAGGCCGGCGTGCCGTTTCTCTGCGTCACCTTGCGCGTCGCCCTCTTTTGCACTTCGGGCTTAAGTGCAGGAAAGAAGACTTCGTGACCTTCGGAGTTGTCCGAATTTGTCACGGCCGTCGAAGGTGTTACGGGTGGTGAAGCAAATGGCTGCTGTAGCTGCTGCTGCTGCTGCTGCATTTGACCCTTTGTCTCCGGCTGTTGGTGCCTTGGCTGTTGGTGCATGGGCCATTCTCCTTCACCGACCACCGTGAGAGCTTCCTCTCCCAACTCTTGCGACGATGAAAGGGGCTGGAACAAGAGGGGCACTTGACCGGGACCAGCAGCATTTGCCAAAACGAGGGGCGCAGGGCCGTCTTCCTCCCGAGGCTCCTTCTTCATCGTCTCTCGCTGCTTGCGGTCGAGGTCGATGAGCAGTGCCCGTTGACGGCGAACCTGGTTGAAAACAAGCCAGGCCAGATAGCCACCAGCAGGAATGTAAAAGAGTAGAAAGAGGCCTGCCCAGACAGGCCAGATGGCATAGCCAATTGACATGTAGTAATGTGTCCTTGTCTGCATCTGCCAGATATCGCTGGCTCTCTGCAAGAACATGTCGGCCGTATCTCTCGAGACCAGAGGCGATGCGGAGGCCGCGGCAGCAAGAATGTCTTTGCGAAAGACGTCATAGATGTCGATGGCGCGGCCGAGGCTTCTCTGCGTCAAGACGATCGAAGGGATAAGAGAAATGATGAGGAGGATGGGCGTGCCCAAGCAGAAGATGTTGACAAGGAGCGGACGTGGTACAAAACGTCCCAACCGGCTCGAGCTCAGCGGCCCTTTATCAAGGGCGCCGGGGGCCGTGTAGAAGGAACCCCATCCGGCGAAAAAGGCACCGATCCACAGCGGCCACCAAATTATGAGGTTGAAGACGCCGAGATGGTGTTGAAGACTATCACGATGCCGATCGTATGATAGATACTGCATGGTGATGAATACGATCCAAATGAGGGCAAAGCACCCTTCGAAGAGCAGAAAGGTGTTGAGCGCATTTGGCTGCAGCAATTTGTCAGCCCTTCTTCGCAAAGCCGATACATGACGGTGAATACTTGCCACAATGTAGACGCCCTCCGACCTTCGCTGAAACTTGAAGAGCCAAAAGGCCTTGTCGAAAATCCTCTTTGTCAAAATAGCGGCTGCGAAAGAGTTATTCAGTGACCCATGTATGCTGACGGTCAGATCTAAAGTACTGCTCACCTCCAAGAACAATGAGCAGAGCAACCCAGCTGCCCGCGGCCGCATTCTGGATAAAGTAATTGGCAGGCATGTAGAAGGCAAAGTGGGCGTGGGTGAAGCTGTCGAGGTGTCGAAGCGCCTGGGCAGAAGCGCCCTGAGGATCGCCCTGCATCTCTTGGAGAATCGAGTCGGGGAATGGACCATGGTTCGTCATCTGACCCAGGACGACGCCCACCATGTCCTTGGTGATACGCATCATCGTCATGGCGCCACCTCCGACGCTGCCACCGCCTCCAAGCCCGCAATGATCGTCACTTCGACCGGCCAGGAAAGATCGAAGGAGATGACGGACCCAAATTTACGCTGATCGGATCATGTGGGCGTTGGCCTGCTCGGATGGGTATCGCTGATGAACAAGGACTGCGGTGACGATGAGACGGTGATGAGGCGAAGTCCGAGCTGAAACAAAGATGAAGCAAGGGCTAGGGGGTTTGGAGGAGAGACAAAGAGGTAAGACGGCAGACGGTCCGGTTCTGTGGTGCAGCTGGTGATAGAACAAACTATGCGCGCATCCGGATAAAGTAGCGGCTTCGATGGTGACTGCCACACTCGTCTCTCTGCTGGCCCCTGCTTACGAAGACCACTTGACCAGCCAGCCGATCGAGCCAGGTGAAGAGAGCAATGGAAGGTATTCCACACGCTTGCTCCGCAATAGTTTCCCTTCTCGGACTCTATGCGCGACTACCTCTGACGACGAGTTGCTCAGTGAGACATGTGTGCGCGGGCAAATGGAAAGAGGGAATGCATTCTCCATGGGGTCTCTCCTTACCATTCATCCACTGAGTTCAAACGGAGAGGGAGACCTGTCGCTTTGTAAAGGCTCAAAAGATCGAGACGCTCCCGCATTCGGAAAGCAAACGCGGGCTGCGCAACGCGCTAGGTCAGACGGGAGCTGGAATCTCGCTAGACTGTCCTGAGAAGAATTAGTAAAGCGGTGTTATACGCGTGAATAGTAGTCAGTGCGTACTTCATCTATATTGCTGTGGTGCTAGCTCTTGCAGACAGGTACAAAGTGAAAACATATTCCATGTTCCAGCACGCTCGCAGCACACGTTGCAAGGCCCCCATCGTCTCTGCTCCCATGAGAGACGGGACTTTGACGACGACAGAATCTGAGACAGATCTCCTCAGCGACCAAAGGAAAGGGCGAATTAAATTCCGCTGCGACGATTTTTCGTTAGTCTCAAGGGTGGGAACATCTGGCTTTTGCAAATAAGCTCGTTGAGACAAGATATTCGGGGAATGTGAAATGCATATGAAGAATCAATATATTGATAAGGTTTTCTGAGGCTTGGCCGATCATCCGGGCCTTTCGTCGAAGTCCGAGCAAATCGGAATAGGCACAGACCGCCAGAGCTCTTCAAAAGCCACAGGTGCTGCTACTACTGTTGTTTGCGTGGTCTAGGATGACAGTGATGAGAGATAGTCCTGGTGAAGCTTTGCCTGCTTTTCGTACTCTTTCTCGAGGAGTTTCCTCCTCTTTTTGCTAATCTCTTTACCCTCCTTGTCGGTCGTTGGGATTCCTTGGTCGTCCCACTGGCCGAACTCTTCGGAGCCTGGCTGAGGCGCCTTGAACATACTGGCAGGGGCCACCTTGCCCTTTTCCAAACGCTCCAAACGGTCCTTCTCAGCCTTTGCGGCCGCCTCAGCTTTGCGAGCAGCCTTTTCGGCCACTGCCCTTTCCTTTTCGTCACGGGCTGCTTGAAGTTGCTCTGCAGGGACGAGCTTGACGAGGGCTTTCCCATCCTCTTGGTCCTCGAGAGCGACGCCGAGATCGACCATGTCTTGGTCACGCAGGCCATCGGCAAGCTTGAGCAGATCCAAATGTGGCGCTTTTGACCTGGCCAATGCTCGCACCTGATCTCTAAAGGTCGAGAGGGCACGAAGATAGGGCATGAGCAGCTCCTCTTGCTGATGTGGGATTCTTGTCAGCGAAAGCCTGAATCCTCTTTTGTTGTCTGATACCTCTACTCACGTTGATGTTGCCGTTTGCCTCGCCTGCCTTTGCTGCTTCGCCCCAGCCAATGTCGCCTTCTCGCACCGCACCCTCGCCCAGGCCCAGCATCCTCAGCATGTCGCCCACGAAGCGAGCCACGGCCTCGACGGTGCCGACATTGACTTCCTTGCGCGCCCGACTCCTCTCGTAGACATTCGCCTTGGAAACGACGTCGAGAAGAGCCTGCATGCCCGCAGGCGTGTCGAAACTGTCGCACATGGCCCTTCGGAATTGTTCCTGGGCTGCAGCCAGCGCGCTCATGAGCTCCCTCTCGGCATCGCCGTAATGGTGTGCGCCGTCAGAGAAATTCTCGCCTCTCGATCGCGCTTCCCGCAGATTGGCCCGTGCTGCAGAGAAGAAATTCTGCGAGAGAGCATTGGTCAGTATGAGAATAAGACAGGAGGAGACACGCGCAGAACCGCGCCGCGATCTCACATTGAATGAGCTCTCTGCATTGCGGACCTCGGCCATAGCCGACTCCTTGAAGTCCATCTTGGAACTCCAGGGCTGCAGCAAGAATGCCATCCTGAGCTGCCGCGCCGAGAAGCGTTCGAGGGCCTCATCAATGGAGATGAAGTTCTTGAGCGACTTGGACATCTTGAGACCTTCGATGTGCAGGTGGCCAGTGTGGAAGAAGTAATTTACCCACTGGTCGCTGTCGAAGTAGGCTTCGCTTTGGGCAATCTCATTGTCGTGGTGCGGGAACATGAGGTCGACACCACCAGAGTGGATGTCCATACGAGTGCCGAGGACCTCACTGGCCATGACAGAGCATTCGATGTGCCACCCCGGTCTCCCCGGACCCCAGGGCGAGGGCCAGGCCGGTTCTCCAGGCTTGGAGGTCTTCCAAAGGGCAAAGTCTGAGGGTGCTCGCTTGCCCGCGACGGTGGCAGCACCGGTTGAGAGCGAGCCTTCGCCCTCTTCGAGGAGGTCCTTGTTTCCCTTGCTCCAGGGTGCCAACTTCGCATACGAATGTTCCTGGCTTTCTCCCGCCTCCTCTCCTTCCGACGAGGCATTCTTTCGCTTGGCCCCGTCAAATGCCCTGGTATCGAACCATACATTTTTTTTGCCCTCGCCCGGTCCGACATCTTCGTATGCGTAGCCGTTGTCGATAATCTTCTGGACAAAGTCGACGATCTCGGGCACGTACTCGCTTACGCGAGTCAAAGTCGTCGGCCGCTCGACGTGGAGACGCTTCATGTCGTCGAAAAAGGCGCCCTCCCAGTAAGCAGCCAGCTTCCGAAAGATGGCTGGGTCGCTGAGGGTGTGGCCCTGTTCTGCATCCAGCTTCGACGAGAGAATGTCAGCAGAGGCGTCGATGAGTGAAGCAGCAGCCTCGCCGCCTTTGTCTCCCGCAGTGGTGCTCATCGTCGCTGCAATGATGGCTTGCCGCGAGGTGTCCTGGACAGGACCAACAACGTTAGGGCTCCAGACATGAGGCAGAGTAGATGAAAGAAACTTACCAGAGCCTTGTACCACATTGAGAATTTCGGCTCCTTCTCGCTCGCCTCCTTGAGCCACTTGTCGTCCTGCACCCTCCTCCTCGAAATCTCCTCCCATGCCGCCTCATCTTCCGGGTCGGCAGGCTCGCCGGCCGGTGGAGATGGCGCGAGCTTCTTGAGCGTTTTTTTGAAGTAGGCCGACCATGCCTGACGGACCTCTGCGACGAGATCGTTGGTGAGACCTTTCGTCTTGTGAGCTTGCCTGAAGGCATCTAGGAGGTGCGACTGTCGCGCTCGTAGGATGATCTTGTCGTCAATGTCGGTGATGTTCATGACAAAGTGAATACTGTAGCCGAAATAATCACGCAAGATTCTACGAATGATGTCCTGAGTCACATAGTTCCTGGTTGCCCCATGTCTGTCGTATAAGCAAGCAGACCAAGACTGCTCAGAAACGGCCAACGTGACTCACCTGGCATGGCCCATATGACTGGAGTCGTACACCGTTGGACCACAATTGTACCATGTGACGTGCTTTGAATTCATGGGAATGAAGTCCACCTTGGATCGTGTCAAGCTGTTGTAGACCTTGAGCTTGGGCTCTTCGCAGCCTGGCTCCGGTTTGGGCAGGCGCCATGGAGGCTGCTTGGCCGTCGACGTAGACGCCATTCTGAGCGATGCGGTCGGCAAGCAGGCGACGACAGTAAAGCGAAAAGATATTCTGTGGAATCCAGGCGATGATCCCAGGCGCTCAAGCATGCGAATGAGCGGGCTCGGAGGATGTCGTCGTCGTCGTGGAAGAAGGAGTAAGAACGGCGTTGATGTCGTCGCAGGAGGCCTGTGAAGGAATACAAAATAGAGTCGGTCATTCTCTGACGCAGTTTGTGTCACTCAATGCAAAAGAAGAGTCGCGTCGCCCTTATTGAAAAGGCGCGCGTCGGTCGTACCAACACTTTCTTCCTCTCCACTGCGACGACGACGACGCATAGAGAGGTCAACACACGCAGAGTTCGTCCCCACCGCAGCATCTCTTCCCATCAGAAAGGACATACAAAGGGGTCCAGCCACTATGAACGGTAGGTCAAGTTCAAATTGCATGCTGGATCTCCATGCTGAGTCGCCATGTGTCGCAGGCTTCGACAGTGGCCCTTATGGGCAGAACTACACCACTGGTGGTGGCGGTGGCGGAGGAGGGTTTATGGCGAACAGCCAGGGATCGCCCGGTGGCGATGGTGCAAAGGTACATCATTCATGCCATACAGTCATACGGACGGAGCTGATTACCCGGAATTGTTTTACAGAGGTCAGGAAGCAACACCCTGAGGCCAGTTACGATTCGCCAGATTAACAGCGTACAGCAGGCGCACACCGACGCTGAGCTTCTATTGGATGGTCAGGAGCTGAACCAGGTGAGTGTCTCGAATCTCCTCTCACCCTCACCATAGTGTGGTCGCAGTGCACGGTACTAAGGGTGGCTCCTCTTTCCTTGCAGTTGACGTTTGTTGGCATGATCAGGAACATCGCCAAGCATCCCACTAACTACCAGTACAACATCGAGGATGGGACGGGGACTGTTGACGTCCGCCAATGGCTCGACAACCAGTCTGAAGACCCGAGCGAGGATGCGGGACTGGAGTGAGTGGTCGCGGAGTGTGGCCAGGCTTTTTGTGTTGTCTGACGACATCTTCACACCAGGGTCAACAAATACGTTCGCGTCACCGGCTCCCTCAAGACTCTCAACCAGAGGCGAGCACTGCAGGCCAGTCTCATTCGTCCCATTACCGATTTCAACGAGATCTTCTTTCACAAGTTGGAGGCCGCCTATGTGCATCTCCAATTGACTCGGGGCGGTGGAGCGGTGAGTCGATCTGAACCGACGAGTGAGAAGAGATCTCACACCTATAAACGCAGGCTGCCGACGGCGATGCAAAGGCGTACCAGAATGGTGGCGACGTCAACATGGCCAGCGTGGGGAATGCGCAGGTCGAAGACCCCTTCCAGCGCAAGGTCCTGCAGATCATTGAAGCCATGGCCGCTGCCAACGATGGCGAGGGCGTGTCCATTGACGCCATCACGAGGAGACTCAGCAATGTGCCCAAGGACAAGATTCGGTGAGTCGCCCTTTCCCTCAAGCTTTGCCTTTTCATTCGCGGCTGATTATAGTCTCCTCGCTTTTTCTAGCTCCGCTTGCAACTCGCTCACTGAGGAAGGCTACGTCTACATCGCTGAAGACGACGACCACTTCATGCCTACGACGACGTAAAAGTACCATTCAAGTGCTCTTCTGTACATCTATACTTTCTCTACCTTCCGTCAAGACACAGTTCGGCCGCCTGTCTGATCTTCAGGGTATGATCTTCGGTTGACTGTTGCTTCAGAAATCCGTTGCTCGTCCACCGTAGGTCCACTCCTTTTCCCACCGCAAGGGCTCCTTTTTGGGACCTCCAATCTCGCCTGTTTGCGGATTTGTGTCACCTTCAAAGTCTGGCGAGGGCTTTGGCCGGTCTTGCGGGTGGATGGCGTCGGCTTCTGACGACTGCGCCGAAGCAGGCTTGAATTGAAGCTTGTCTGATGGGAGGGCGGACATCGTGAGTCAGTCATGTCTGAAAACTACCACGATCGGGCCAGGCCAGGTCACACGCCACGCACTGGCATTTTCGCGGACAAGACGCTCAAACTCTCGCTGTTCCTTTGGCGGCAGCGGGGGAGGTCCTGGTCTTGAGAAGAGCCCGCCATCGTGGCCATCGTCCCGTCGGTCGTTGCTGACGCGCGGCGTGCACGAGAAATGTCTTTGCAGGACGCGAGACGAAGACGACGACGACGATGATGATGATGATGAGGCTGACGCCATCACCGACCGCTGAAGGCCATACGCTAGCCGCTGTCGGGTTGGTACGAGTATCATGCTGAATTAGCAAGCACTTTGGATGTTATGATGCAGTTGTCGCTTTGTGGCAAAGACGTGAGATCAGATTTCTTGGATCAGCGTGCTTTTATTTTATTTTTTCCGACCAGTCAAGGACCCTCTAGGCGAAAAGAGAGAAGAAAATACTATAGGGAAGAGTGGCTTCTCCACAAAGCTGTCGGGAGGCTCTTCACCCATCCACACAAGACGGATGCCAATAAGTGACCCGACGTTGCTGTCTGCCACGATTGGAGAAGACATATAGGCATCGCCTGCAGACACGATGGAGGAAATCTTATCTCGAATCATTTGTATTATGGGTTAAAAATGGCTTCGCCAGACGTTCTGAAAAGCTGATGTACAAGATAGTGAGAATATGTTGGCTTAGCTATGCTCCCGTGTCAGTCTATGGCTGGCGGGGTGTTTGCGTTCCCCTTTGGCGCCAGCCGCATGACGAAGTGGGAGGACAGGCAGATTTGATCTAATTGCTGGACGTGCCGCACTTGCACGGATTGCAGGTGCAGTTCTCCTTGCAGTTGCACGAAGCGTTCGTGACAGTCTCCTTGGGGCACTGGCTCAGGAGGAGAGGGTAAATTTGAGTAAAGACAGGAGAAAAGCGATGTCTAGCCAAAGGCTACTCACGGTGCACTTGTCGCCGCAGCCGCACTTTCCGTTGGCGTCCTTTGCGCAGGTGCACTGTGCAGCACGCAGAGATGGCGTTAGTGGGTCATAAATGAGATCTGGAGCAACCTGGGCACTCACGGCCATCTTTGTTGTGGTGTGGTGGGGTGGAGTGGCAAAGTTGTGGTAGAAGTAATGTGGCAAGAGTGCGAAGCTCGTGAAGGAGAAGCGTGTGCAATGGGTTGCTGGTGGGAGGGAGGAGGTGATGAGGTGGTGACAGGGCTCTTTATATATGCACTCCCTCGCGGCAATATCGGAGCGTTTCTACCAACGCCACTTGTGGTCAAGGCGCTGTGCATCTAGGGGAAATCGAGGGAATTTAGCATTACAGGGCACATGGACAGTGTCGGGCGCACACGGCAGTCTGAGTGTCGTGTGGACGGGCTCGCGGAACGGACTCGAATATTTAAAAGTCGGATTCAGTCCAATTAAAAAAGACTGGGCAGATTAGGAATTTGACCAGTCGATTCAAGCTCAGGATGAGCGCTTTTCTACCCACTGAAAGAAGCATCTGCCGCGTGGACCAGTTGCAAAAAAGCCTCAGAAGGCGCGCCAAGCACTGTCAAGAGGCGCCGCACTTTCTGGACTTACAGTCCGCGACTTAAATTTTGCTCAGCCGCCGACAAGAGCTATATGCCCAGGCCTCTCCGCTGTGCGATGAATGAGGCTCAGATCGGCTCAGCACAGAGCGGGGACAGAGGCAAATGTAATACGGTATGTATTGTATTGGAGGAAACGGAAATGAAGGAAGGAAGTGTATAATTTCGGATCTCGCTCCGTCTCTTTCAATGACTCGAAGACGTGGCCTTTTTGGCCGACTTTTGCTGCTGCGAAGCCGTAGCAGTTGAGTTGGCCAGTACGCCCAGGCCGACGCTGTTCGTCTGGGCATTTGTAGCAAAGTAGACGTTTTTCAAAAATGCCGCGCCAAGCAGAAGCTTGTAGTCGCCCCCGACGGTGCCCGCGCTAATGGCCGAGACGCACTCTCCCTGGAGATTGTTCTGGTCGACTGGCAAGAAGACCATGTCCCTTGCCACGATGGGCCACTCCTTGCCTCCAAACTTGAACGAGAGGCCAGCATCAGTGGTGCACGGAATCGTGTAGCCTCCCTGACCGTCCGCCTTGGCACCCGGGATGGCCGCATGGACTGCGTCTGCGTCGGGCGTAGGCATGATCATCAGCGTCGTGCCCGTGTCGAGAATAGCCGTCCTCTGTTTGCCAGACGCGAGCTCGCTGATAGCCTTTCCATCGAAGCTGACGCCCTCAACGGGAATCTCCCAGAAGCCTTGGTCAGAGACATTGTCAATCTCAATCAGGTCGCCCGAGTACTTTGTAGCATCGACACCGCCAAAGGTGACCTCGCCATCGTTGTCATCGTCTGCAGCTCGACCGAGATGGTAGCCCATGACGGGAGCAGGGACGAGCTTGTCGGTGTAGAGGCTGTCGATGGGTGTCGGCGTTCCCGAGTTGGAGAGCTGCTCCTTTGCCAGTCCCATCAGACCGTCAAAGGGCACAGAGGCATCGCTAAAGTCGTCGGACTCCTGTGTGACGATGCCCATCGTGTGGTTCTTGAGCGTCAGGCCAGCAATCATGAGATCGTCCTGGCCCAGTGTGCCGGACACATCACCGGTGCCGTAGGTGATGGAGAATTTCTCGTTGCCGGCCTTGAACGTCGAAGAGGTGCTCGTTCCGAGCTTCTGGTGGCTGTTGCACTGCTTGCAAGGCGCCTGGGGCACCCAAGTGTCGGCCGAGCCAGAGTCGATGAGCATCCTGAAGGGAAGCTTCTTGGAGCCAATCTCGACGGTGGCGACGTAGCCAACGTCGTTTGCTTCAATGTCGAGGCCGAGGCTGTCTTCGGCCGATGGATCGGCAGCCTTTTGCAGCTCGTTGGAGTTGGCCGCAGCGAGGGCCGACTTGGAGTAGCCGCCAGAGGAGGGAGAGGCAGTGGCGGCAGCGACGGCCGCGGCGGATTTCTTGCCCTCCTTCTTGCTCGCCTTCTTGCCGTCCTTTTCCGTGGCCTTGCTCGATTTGTTCGCCTTGGTAGGGGTGGCTTGTGCAGCCTGGCTTGACGTGGGTTTCGCCGTGGTGCTCGCGGCAGCCTTGGTGGAAGAAGACGAGGAGCTGGAGCTGGAGCTAGCGCTGGAGCTGGTGGAATTGGTGGTAGACGGCGCAGATGGCGCTGGGGAGGCAGCGGTGGGCTGCTGCTGAGGCTGCTGCTGTGGGGAGCTGCCACCGCCCAAGATGCCCCCGAGAAGGCCACCGACCAGCCTCTTGTGGTGCCCCTCGTTAACGCTCTTGTTAACGACGCCAATACGGCCGTGTTTTCCCGACGCAAACTTGTATTCGGGGTGCTGCTGCTGAGACGTCGAAGATCTTCGCTTGCGATCGGCTCCGACGGAGGACCCCAGCTGCATGGCCCTCTGACTCGTTTGGGGTGGGGATGGGTCTCGAGAGGCGAGGATACTGCGCTTGCGCTGTTGGAGCGCCGCGTGCAGGTCCTCCTTTGATGGCATCGATCTTCGCCGCATCATGGCCAGTTTGGCGTTGGCACGATTGATGTGGTGTTGCAGCATCTGTCGCCGTCCTTGTGTCAGTTTGCTTTCTCCCCTTCTCGTGTGCCCAGACAGAAAGTTAGACGTACCATAAGCGGGTTGCCCTGCTTGCCGCTGTGGCGAAGCTTTCGCAGCGAAAGCGTCTGGCGCTGTTTTGCGTGGTGGGCCACCTCGAAGCCCTTGAAGGCCGAAGCCTTTTGCCTTTCCGACGCTGGCTCGGCAGCCTTGAAGGCAGCCTGCCCTCCACGCCTCAGAAAGGCCTTGCGGCGCTTCTCCATCCTCTTGTCACTTCCACTCTTATTAAGTCCTTCGGCCGACGAGCCGCTCTTGAGCACGATGCCCACGCGGGCCTTGTCGGAACGATGAACAGGCTGAAAGCTGTGTCCATTCGTGACGGGTGCCGCGAAGACGGCAGAAGAAGAGGACTTTGTCGAAGAGGAGGAGGACGAGGAAGAGCGCTGCTGATCGGAGAGGTCAAAGGCTCCGATGGCGACGAGCACCATGAAGAGGTTCAGGAAGCGGAGGGACAGTTGCACCATCTTGCGAGAAAGATACTATCAGGCTGTGTACCTGGAGTCAGCGCCCCTCTTCCTCCCCTTGCAGTGTTCCAAAGACCGTCGCTACTCACGACCGGCCTGTGCGAGCTTGAAAGTGACGGCGAGACGAAGTGATTCAGATCGAAAGAAGGAAATGAGGGTGCAGGATGATAAGAACAAGGGAACAAAAGGGGAATCAACAGGTGTCCTAGCCAGTAGGATCTGCTGAGAAGAAGGAGTAAGGGGAGCTGTAGCGAACGAGGGGCAGAGAAAAGAGAGCGGAAGAGGACCCGGCTAGCAGGAACCTCCGAGTTGGTGATGGAGATCAGAGGGAGTGGGCAAAGCCCAGCTGTTTTAACGAGTTTCAAGAACGAAGACCAAACCCCAGAACAGAAGGTGCAGCGGCCTCGTCCGACTGGCCGAGCCCATCAGCTAGGATTCCATTGCGTCAGTTATCACGCCTCAGAGCGCGACATGTCAACTTTCTCCTCGTCTTCTCCACGGGCGCGCGTCAAAATTGGCAGCTTTACTTGGATGTTCAACCTCGGCCTGGGAACAAAGCTCGAGATATTTTAAGAAGGCCCTGGCTTCGTCATCCTTGCCGTTTTGTGTCCATTGCCATCTCCATCGGCTCTATCGTCTCGTCTGCCTATAGAGAGGATGAGACCAGATTCAATGAGCTAGGAACCAAAGGTGTAGAGTGTGTGTCTGTGCGGGAGTAGGCTAGCCTGCCACGTGTCTGTGTTCTCATCTCCACTGGGTGGACAAGGCTGGGCAAGCAAGGAAGAAAGAAGCTATCGACTTTTTCCATCGCTTCCATTTACCAACACAGACCATTGTCCATAGGAGATCCGCGTCACCATGGAGGCTATCGCGCAGCAGGTGAGAGTCTCTTTCGCACCCGACGGGACAGGCCCATCACAGGTGCTGAAGCGGTAAGCGACGTGACAGTTCACCGACTTTTACTACAACCAATTCGACTCGGACCGAGCTGGTCTTGTCAACCTCTACGTGGGTCTCAACTTCCCTCGAGACTTGTGCAGCCGTCACTGACCTCCTCTGTGAACGACAGCGGGGCAACTCGATGCTCACCTTCGAGGGCACGCAGCTGCAGGGTGCAGCGGCCATCGTCGAGAAGCTTCAGGTGAGCCTAGCTTCCCCAGGCCGACTTGCTCACCATGAGACTTTGCCTCGCTGACTCCCTTGCACGCGATACCGATCTGCAGAGCCTTCCTTTCCAGCGTGTGCAGCACAAGGTCGAGACGCGGGACGCGCAACCGACCGGTGCTGACGGAACCTCCCTGGCCGTCATGGTCACGGGCGCCCTTGTCGTGAGTCTTGTCCCTTCTCGTCGGGGGACACCGACAATTCCTCGTTTGGCTTCCCGTCCTGTCGCTGCCCTCTTTGTGCTGACCACATCTCCTGTTGCAAAAGGTCGACGACTCGCCCCAGCCCATGCGCTTCAGCCAGACGTTCATTCTCAACCCCGAGGGCGGCTCCTACTTTGTTTTCAACGACATCTTCAGGTGAGAGAGCTTCCTCTTCGTCTCTTCGCTCTGTCAAAGGCAAAGGACCGTACACTAAAGGATGTTTCCTTTTTCAAAAAGGCTCAACTACGGCTGAGAAGGAGCAAAAGCTGGAGGGGGACAAGGAGCCTTCCTGGAGCGCATCTTCTTGCCCGATCGCCTGGGCAAGTCCCTTTTGCCAACCACCGCCAACATTAGATGCGCTCTGACATACTCTGCTAATCCATTCGTCCATTCATCATCGCTGATTCACGAAGGCGGGCAGAAGAAAGAAGGTGGGAGAGCGAGGATAAGCAAATCATATTGTGAAACGGGACTTTGATTGAGTGAAAATAAGGTAATTGTGGCAAGAGGACGACGCTATAGATGTACGGGGGATTAGAAAGACATACACCCAAGACATGAGCTACATGAGGAGTGGGGGAAAGAGGAAGAGAGTAATGGAGGACTGACGACAAGGATGTAGAACACAGAAACGGCAATCGGCCAAACGCCCTTCCTTTCATCTTCTAAGTCAGGTCCATGCCCTGGTTCTCGTCGTTCCTGCCATGGAGACGAAGATTGTGCTGGCGGTCCGCCTCGACGAGGAGCTCCTGGACAGAGTTGGGTACGAGGAAAGGGTCGTCCCTTCGCTCTGCGCCATCGTCGAGATCCATGTCATTCTCTTCTTCGGCAGCTGCCTCACTGCCACCTTGGTGGCTAAAATCCGCCGTGACGGCCGGTGCGCTAGCCAAACCAGAAGCTGGCCTCGGTACTGACGACGAATAGAGACGATTTGCGTAATCGAATTGGGATCTTGCTCGTGCATTGGATCCACCGTTGCCCGTCGAAGTAGCAGCGATGGCGCCAAGATCCTCGAGGCGAGTCGTCGAGGCAGAGGCTGGCGCATGCAGCTGCTGCCCTTCGAAGCTCCTCGAGAGCGACGGAGCTGTCGTTGAAGCTGAGGCTGTTGCAGGGATGCCCGACATGGACCTCGGACCAGAAAAGGAATGCGGCATAGCCCCAGGTGACGACGACCAGGTGCCTGCGTTGATGTACGTCCCAAGGGGGGTGCGTGAATGCACTCCGGGCCCAGGAGATGCCTGGCTCAGATTGACGCTGGCGAACCTGTGTGCTTGGCGAGGCACAGGCGCGTGAAGGCCTTGCTCGCTTGGCAAGCGAGTCGCGGGGGAGCTGTTCGTGCTGCTGCCACTTGTCTGTGCGTGCAAACCACCAGAAGAGAGCAGCATATCGTTCTCATCGACCGATCGGCGGTGACCCATGTTTCGCGATGCGCTGCTCCGGCGTCTCGACGACATCTCCTGGCTGCCTGCTTCGGCCTGCTGATGGGCCGATGAAGAAGACGATGGGTAGTCTGCATCCTCGGTGACTCTGCTTCGCTGCGCAGCGGCCAGATGCGTGGCATTTGGGACAGGCGTGTGACCTCGCCAAATCATTTGGTCAAAGTCGCCCCGTCCAAAGACAGCGGCATCGTTGCCATCTGGTGTTCCATTCTCGAGCATCTCCTCGTTGGCAATGTCGACACCACCGTCGTGCCGAGCGATGACGGGAGGCGGCAAGGGTCTACCGGCCAAGTCGAGCCTCGTGGGCGGCATTGGTGGACCGCCTTCGCCCTCTGATTCATTGGCAGACGGAAGCTCGGCGAGACGCTGCCCCGGGCTGCGATGGGCCGGAGAAACCGTGGAAGCCACGACCCTTCTCGAAGCACGATCCATCGCCTCGTCGTCACTCATGTCCGATGCTTCTCCTCCGCTCGACGTACCAGACACAGTACGGCTTCGACCCGAAGGTGAGGGACCGTCGTCGGAGCTCATGAGATGAGGCGGAATGGCAGAGGGCCTGCGCCGGCCTTGCAGGGCAGCGAGGCGAGTAGGAAGTCGGAGACCTGTCTCATTTGGAAATCCATGTGGCCGTCGATCGAGCTCGGTTCTGTCGACGTTGGGCGGTGCCACAGCCGCTTGTTGTTGTTGCTGTTGCTGTTGCTGTTGCTGTTGCTGTTGCTGTTGCAGCGGCTGCTCTTGGTGCTCTTGATTTTGCACCTCTCTCTCGTCGCTGTTAGTCGACATTTCTCCTTCCTGGCTAGTGCGAGAAGCATCACTGAAAACTCTGTCCTGACGAGCGTCCTCATGGGCTTGTGCATGCCCTGGGATCCGGGGCTGGCTTCGATCCAGACCTTGTGCCTGGGCAGCGTCTCCACCTGCAGCAGCGGCGTCTGGCGCCAGAGCGAGAGGTGTCGTGCCCAGCTTGTTGCGCTCCTTCTCCTTCTCTGCATTCTCTTCGTCCGAGCGGGCGCTGCACCAGAAGCGGTGGCCCATCTGCCACCCTTTACTCTGGCACTGCTTAGAACAGTACTTTGCCTTCCGGCACCGCCGGCACTTTGCAAATTCTCTCGGCTGCGACTCCCACTTGCCGCACAGCATGTTGGCACACTGGCGCAGTCCACCTCGCGACTCGTCCTTTCGGCAGGCATTCCGCATGATCACCCCTGCCCAGTACTGGATCTCAGGCGCCACCTTCGAATCGGGTGAGGCAAAGTAGGCGGCCCCCGTGCGCGAAGAGCGGATGGTAAAGCGTTCAGCAATGGAAAACACGTTGCGCTTCGGCGGCGCATTGGGCTGCCAGCTCTCTTCGTTGTCTTTGACCGGATTGTTGAGCCTCTCGTTGAAGTTCATCGTCGACATTTCCGAGTGGAAGAGAGCGCGGACGTGGGCGTACTTGGACAGGTACGCGAGCAACTGCAGACTCAGCAGCACCTCCTCTTCTCGAAAGATCATGTCTGTGGGTGAGACAATTGGTGCTGCGTCACCTCTCGCTCGCTGCGAAGAATGATGGTGGTGATGGTGGTGATGATGGTGGTGGTGATGAGCATGGTGATGGCTGTGGGGACGCGCAGTCTGTGGGGTGTCAATGTCATCGTTGCGTGCTTGCGACCTCGACGAGGCTCGGGACGTGGCCATGAATGAGCCAGAAGGCCGAGTGGCATCGCTTCTGGCCTGTGGCGTCGTCATGCTGTGATGGGTGCCACCAGTGGTACCACCGATGTTGCTGCCGCCGTTGCCCGCGTTGAGCGTGGCGGTGATCGCAGTGCCACTGCCTGAGGGATGGCTTGCGCCAGACCGCCGCGGGATGACAGTATCCTGGCGTACGGGCTCAACGGCACCTGCAGTGGTAGTGTTGGGCCAGGTCGAAGGCGCCGGAAGTCGTTCCTGGCTCTCGCTGGCCAAAGGCACCAGCGCTCTTCGCGGCGGCCTAGGCGTCCTACGGTCTTCCCCCTCCTCTTCCGTGGCCTGGCTCCGGGAATGATTGATGTCCATCTCGCTGTCTTCCCCCTCAGCCTCCTCTCCAAACATGTCCGCATCGCTGCCGCTGCCGCTGCCTGCACCGAGGTCCTCCACGGAGCTCACGTTGGTCAATGTGCCAGAGGGCATGATCGAATCGAGGTCGCTTGAGCGATCCCGATCGCGCTCGCTAGCGACGCCGCCTCGCCGCCTCCTGTTGGAGTTCTCAGCGAACAGGCCCGTCGATGGGCCCGTCGAGACCGCATTGATGCTGGAAGACGAAGACGAAGGAGAGACGGTGACCGACAGCGGCGTTGCTGCTTCGTCGATGGCATTGGCGTCGATTGGCATTGCGTCAAGGCGCGCAGCGAGAATGGGAACCGGGTTCGCTGGTCTGCCGGGACGGTCTGCATCTCGGCTGGGGCTGTCAGTGCCCTGCGACGGTGCTGATGTTGCGTCAATGAAGTCACTCGAGACATTGACAAGGACAGATGAGGCCGCAACCACCTCTGCTGGCGTCGTGGGACGAGTTTCCGAGGCCAAGCCTGCCTGTCCTTGAGATGCACCGTCGCCCTGGCTCGGCCCTGAGTCAGAATCATCGTTGACAGACGAGTCTGCCATCGAGGCCTCGACACTGTGACTTATCGGCGCGACCTCGAGGCGTTCCTGAAGCACTTGGTGACGGTGTGCGCTCATTTCTTGGCTCTGTAAAAGGCGCTGCTGTTGTTGCTGTTGATGCGGTGGCAATGCTTGCGGTCGCGACTGCCGCTGCGAGTGCTGCTGTTGCTGTTGCTGCTGTTGGTGATGGTGATGATTGTGACCTAGTGCAGACGGTGGTGTTGGTGCATCATCCGCATCGATTCGCTGCGTCGGCGCAGAGGTGGCCGTTGGAGTGACGGCCGTCGATGTCCACGGGGAGCTCGACGACTCAGCCGCGACAAACCGATTTGCACTCGCATTCGCGGCCGCCTGAGCCTCTCTTGCCCTCTGCTTTGCCTCTTCGCGCTTGGCCTCTCTCCTTCGCTCGTCGCGGAGAGCCTCCGAGACGTAGAGGTAGCTCTCGAGCACCTTGAGCGTGACGGGGACAATGCCCGCTTCCACCACCCTCGTCCGGACGTTCTCGCTGCCACGCACACCAATGTTGACGACGCACTGGAACGCCAGCGTCCATTTCCACACGCCCTGCATCTCCTTTGTGATGACGCCACGCATGTTGGGCTGCGTAGGTGCGCGAGGCGTCTGGCGCAGGATGCGAATCAACTTCTCCAGGCCACCATCGAGCGTCAGCATCTCACGGATGCGCGGTGATGTCGACGTGAGATAGGCCAAGTGATTGAGCGAGTTGATGAGCGGCAACGTCGCCGTGCAGTCGATGGCTGTCATGATCCATGTTCGTGTCAGTGTCTCGGTGGGCTCTCTCTATTTCATTCACGGCCGTGTGGCGAGCAAAAACCTACCTCTGCGATCATAGACGGCGGCCGAAATGCAAATGCAGGCCTTGTTCTGGGCCGGGTTGCTGAAGTTGGACTCGCGCATGTTTGCCACCTAGCGAGCCTCTTCTCCTCGCAATCCGCCTCGAGAACGAAATGAGAATCGTGAGGAGGAGAAAGAGGAGCGAGGGGAGGGTCTAGCGGCCTCCGAGATCGACGATGACGCCTGAGCCAATCAACAAGTCGGAAATGTTGCTGTGGTTAAACGAAGTGATGTTTACGCAGAGGCTGAAAGTGAGAAAAGGGGGGCAGCAGGTAGGGAAGATTAGAGGGAGAGAGAGAGAGAGAGAGACGGCGTCGGGCGGTGGATTGGATCACGGATGAGAAGCCGACGACTCGAGGGCAGCAATGCTTGGCTGAGCTGATGGCGGGCGGCAATGTCACGTCGGACTTTAGACAGTTTGCGCAGCCTCGCGGCCTCGCACCAAACACAGGCCCAAGCTGAGGAACGAAAGCGTCCTAGTCTGTGGGCCTGAACCAAACAGTGGTCAGGCAACCTCTTGTGCAACCGGAAACCAGATTATGCCGGCCAGACGCGACCGACGGCGGAGCGGAGATGCCGAAAGTAAATAGCAGCAGCAAGGTGTCGACTCCCCACCTTCGAGTGAGAGAGGCGAAGAGTATTGTGTGGCAGCCCTCCTGCCTGCTTGCTTGCTTGCCTGCTTGCAGGGGTCGGCGCTGTGACTGGCTAGTTGGCTTTGATAGGTCGTCCAGCCGAGGAGATCGTATACTCGAGTCCAAACACCGCTCGTGGTCGCACCGACAAAATACAATCCAAAAAAGGCCGAAGACTGGGTGTCCAGAGGTATCAAAGGAAGACAGAAGGCGTGCGGGCCGGACCACGAGGAGGGCAGAGACGAAGACAAGCCAGGAAATGTAGAAGAGGAAGAGTGCTTGAAGGCGTAGTCGACGAGAAGGAGCTGAGTTGAGCTGTTCTACGACTTAGTAGTAGTCGTCACGCTTGCTCAATTGCTGGGCTGGTGGGCTGGGCTGGGGCTGGGCTGGGCTTAGCAGGCGCGGGCTCCTTGGCTGTCAGGCCAGGCCCAGAGAAGTGGAAAAATTTGATTTCTTTTGTTGCCTCACGCAAATTACTTTTAAAAATTGTAGAGGAGAGGGGCTCGACCGACAAGCCCATTGTAATCGAATTGGTAGATCCAGGACCGGCGCACGCGATTGCGACCCACTCGGGGCCCCTTGCTTTCTTTTGGCGCCTGTGCTATCACGATAAGATCACATCTTGACAGCACGCAACTTCATCTTCCGCCCACGTCCATGCATTGGACTTCAGCTGCTCTTGGTCTCGTCTCTCCAAGCTGGTCTGTACCTGGTGAAGCGTGGGACAGGCGGAATGGCATATTGCGACTGTATTTCCTTCATCGTACTCCGTGACGGGTGCTGCACGATTGTGATTACTGACCTGTATTCTTCGTGCCCAAGGCAATGACGGACCTTGACCCGTCGTCGTCTTCACAAGAGTCAAGTTTTGCTGTAGTGACAATAGTCCGCTATCTCTGAAAGGCGTGCGCGCGCTGTTCTTCGCATCATGTAGGGTCGGTATGTGTTGACGAGCCAAGATAGCATTGTTGCACGGCGGGCGCCAAGCTACCCACAGAGTTCGCTCTGGGTAGAAAAATGGCAGTGTGAATCCGGAGTGGTCAGGGCATCCAGAGATAGGGGAAATGTGTCCAAAGCAGCAGCCTTGCGGTGCACAGAGGAGGCTTGGACTGAGGCGAGGAGAACTCGCCGTGTCCCACATCCTGTCGGATTCATATGTGCGGCCATACCTGATTGTCCAGTGCGCAACAAAGATAACCAGATCTCAGATATAAGAGACGGTGTTTCTTCAGCGTCTTGCCCTCTTCCTCACCTTCTCGCAGCCAACGAAGAGCCGCCTGCGTCGAAGAAGCCTCGTCGAAGAATCCTCACCGCAACATCCGAGCCAACGCACAAGCAGATAGATATAGCCGATCTCACCCGAGACAGGATACAACCTCTAGCCGTCGATATGGAATACGTGAGCCAGAGCGACTCACTGAACAGGTCTTTCGATGCTGTGAAGTGCTGAATGTGCCCAGCAGCAGAAACTGAAGACCGGTAGCAGTGCGCACTTGATCCTGTGGAAGGCCAAGGTGAGAAGAAGACTACCGTCGTGAGGCCAATTGCTGAATTATCATTGCGCTCGCATTGCAGGACCACGAACTCGACGGAAAACAAGACGGTAGTGAAACGTCACAGGAAAACAATGGCTGCTCTTGCAGCCCTTGCAAGTGCGCAAGCTGCAAGTGCTCTTAGACCCTCAAGTCGACGACCAGCTCGAGCGCTTCTTAGCCGTGACACCACCGTTTCATTTCAACATCTTTCATCCTTCTCTCCTCCTCCTATCCCCAAGATGGGTGTGATGTTAGTGTGAATTCTATCACGATCAGCAAGATCAATTGTCGTAGGAGCCTTGACTGCGTCTGATCTTCGTCCACCCCTATGAGCTCTAACGTGTATTCGTCCCAAGTTTGGGCGTCGGTCAATTTGAGATGACGAACGCGTACCCCCGGCCGAAAAAAAAAGATAGAGCAGCGCTAATCACTGAGGCGCCAAGTCGCACTCAACTGACAGAGGTCCGACTATCCACCAGCCACCACCACCTATCGCCCAGCCCTTGCCTCTTCAGCCGTTGCGGCTATCGTCTCGCGCTTCTTCTTCCCGATCTCTCAGCACTGATATCCTGCCACGAGCGCCTTCATCTTGACCCTCTTCGCATCGTACGCAAGCACGCCGCTACCGGAGGCACGTATCTCATTCCGTATCCGTAGCAGCGCGGTTGAGACCCGGCAATACCACCCACAAGATGATCAAGATCTGGTCGCTGAAAAAGGACGAGGAGACGGCCAAGAAGCGAAAGCCAAAGACAAGCCCGGCGCAGCTGAGGGTACAGAAAGGTGAGCAACCTTGTCCAGCAGCCGCCCCCTTCTCTCATGCTTGTCTCACTGACCTGCTCCTATGCGCGGCAGACCTTACGGAGCTGGAGCTGCCCAGCACGATGAAGACGGAGTTTGCGAATCCAGATGACGTGCTCAACTTCACATTGACGATTGAGCCAGACGAAGGTGAGCTTCTGGGCTTCTCTATCTTTACGTTACTCCCTCGAGTCAGGCAGCTCACCGGGTATGAAACTGGCATGTGCACGCAGGGATGTACAAGACGGGCTCCTTCCACTTTACGTTTGCCATCAACAACAACTACCCCCACGACCCGCCCAAGGTCAAGTGCACCCAGAAGATCTACCATCCCAACCTGGACCATGACGGTAACGTCTGCCTCAACATCCTGCGCGAGGACTGGAAACCGGTCCTCAACCTCAACTCTGTCATGGTCGGCCTGCAATACCTCTTTCTCGAGCCAAATGCCGATGACCCGCTGAACAAGGGTGAGCTGTTCTGGAAGACGTTGGAGAAGCTGCTCTTCAGATGGAGCGACTGACGGGTTCGATGCTTTGTAGAGGCGGCCGAGGATTTGCGAAGAGACAGGCCAGGGTTTGCGAGCAACGTCAGGCGAAGCTTGGGCGGAGGAAGCGTCAGTGAGTAGGAAACACCCTTCCTCCATCTGAAAGGAACAGGAACACTGACCGACAGCTACCACTCGACAGAGGGCGTTCAATACGACAGGGTCACGAAATAGAAGGCCCTACTTCATCCCAAGCATCGCACGAGACATTCACGCATATAGACCTGACTTGAATTTGCCCGCCCCACACTGACAAGCTCCTGGCCATCTCTCCTGCACTGGCACCCGAAAGAGAGGCGCCACCTTTCCTGAACATGCAACAGCACACATTTGCCTGATGGTAAAATGTCATTGACCCAAAGCCTATCTACTCTGGCCTCTGAGCGTCGGCTGGAGAAAGTGAAAGGGCAGCCGAATCAGCGGCATGATAAGATCTCACGCGAAGCGCAAAGACTTACGATCCAGCTGCGAGGGCGGCTTGGAGGTTGCGGCCTCCTCCATGGGGTCCAGAGCAGGGCTCGGCGGCTGGGAGATTTTTTCCCGGGGAGCCGGCTTGTCCCTGTGGGTGTTGACCGCCTCGATGGGCGCCTTGAAGCGCCTCTCACGCGTCCCGAATGCTGCCGGCGTCTGATCGAGAGTGGGAGAGAGCAGAAGTGGAATTCCATGAGCAGAGCAGGAGAAGGGGGTTAGGAACACACAACTCACGAGCTCCAAGAGCGTGTGCAGCGGAATCTTGATGTACGGCAAGTCGTCCTGGCCCAGGGCATGGAAGTAGGCGTAGAGGGCCCTCAGGATGGCCTGGTGACCAATGATGAGAATGTTCTCCTGCCGTTCGAGCTCCATGATGATGGGCTCGAGCCTGACGACGACGTCGCGGTACGACTCGCCGCCCCTGTACCTGTAGTTGAACTTGTCCTCATCTCTTGAGGCATAGTCTTCGGGGTAAAATCGTTCGATCTCCTCGTACGTCATTGCGTCGCATACACCAGCGTCGAGCTCATCGAGCGACTTCCAGGCTAGCTTGGGGTAGGGCAGAAACGAAGCCGTCTGGCCCGTTCGTTTCAGAGTAGAGTGCCACACCGTCAGCGGGGCATCGCCCACGGCATCCTTGACCAGCTGAGGCAAGGCCTTCGCATAGGCCCAGCCGCGCTCGGACAGGTCCGAGTCACCTCCAATTTTGCCCTCGACGTTGTACTGCGACTCGCCGTGCCGTGAGAAAAAGATGTTGCGTGGAGTGAGGTGCAAGTTCATGAGGTAGAATGCGATTCTCGACTCGAGGTAGCCATGGATCTCATTGACGACGACGCTACGGCCTACGTCGGTAATCTTGCAGTAGCTCAGGTCCTTTTCGTCGCCATGCGCGTCGACAGACTCGTATGTCTCCTCGTAGTGCTTGATGCGCTTGAGAAAGTCCTCCTTTGCGGCCTCGGGCGACATTCCGGCATAGTCTGGGTCGCCAGACGAGACCTTGACGGCAATGTTGGCGGCAATGACCTGCGGGTCCGTGCACAGACTCTCGAGGAAGATGAGCTTGAGGTCAGGCTCCTTTGCGATCCTCTGCGCAATGGCCGCCCTCCGCTTTCGCGAACTATTGGTGGCGTCGTGAATGCCCACATTACCACCCCTTTTGAGCCAGCCGATGAGCTGCTCGAGGCACTCCTCGGCCATCTGCGTTCTCAGCTTGAACGCTGCCGGGTTGTGGGGATCGAAAAAGGTGGCTGTGTGGTCCTCCTTTTGGCCTGACTCCTTGAGCTTGGCCTTGGCAAGCGCCCGCCGCAGTTGGCCGACGTTGAAGACCTTGACATCGTACTCGAGCCACTGTTGAAGGTCAGAAAAAGCAGTCTCAAAGCATGGGAAAAAGGACCAGGAAGCGCACGCACCCTCAGATAACGCATCAGCTTGTTGCTCAGGTAGCTCTTTCCTCGCGCAGGCAGGCCAACCATGGCGACGACAATCTTTTCGCCGCTGTAGTCGGGCTTGGCGCCTAATTCGCCCCCATCGCCCGAGAGCGTGTTTGTGCGCGAATGCAAGCGCGCCGTCGATGCAGGTGAGGCATTTCGGGAGCGAGACGAGGCAGCCAGTCGGGCGGCGCGTGAAAGGGAGCGAGGCAGTGGATTGAATGGTGGCGCACAGGGATCGGAATGAGGCGTATTCGATGAGGCGAAGGAGGCATCCGTGGGCGAGACGATGGGAGTGGACATAGTAAGAGGTGGCGACAGATTGTCAGTTGTCAAAGCCAATGCAAGCAAGCACTCATATCCACGTCCCACGTCCGGAGGCCGAAGAAGAACGAAGGTGGAAAGCAGCGCAGATTAATTTTAAGCGGCACCAATCCAAGCCATAGCCGGATGGGAGAGGGCGGGGAGATAAGGATCCCATTCTCCCTTACCCTTCGTCCGTTTGAGAAAAAAAGAAGAGAACAAGAGAAGAAGAAAAAGAAAAGAAAGGCAGCAAAGAGAGACTCACCAGTGGAGCCCAAGTTGGGCGCATTGCTCGGCGTGACGGACTGGCTGGCTCCCCCCTCTCCAACATGGGGCGCGTCCTTGAGAATATGTCCTTCATTGCCTCCTTCTTCGCCCGGTGTGCCTGGCTGGGAGCCGCCGCGGCTTCCCCTGGTGCTCTCGCTCAGCTCGCTCCAGCCCGGTCCCGCTGCCCGGCTCAAGCTTGATGAGACGAGCTCGGGGTGGTCCCGGAGAAGAGCCTGGAGGCCCTCGGACGACGAGGCGAGGTTGGACGAAGCGACGGCCTGGTCGAACATGTCCTTTTGCGTCGATGTCGGCTGCGGCACGGGCCGCGTCTGGCCGCCGTGAGACATGTGTCGGCCGGCCTGAGCAAAAGTGGGAGGAGATGAGGTGACGGAAGAATTGGAAAGGCGCGAAGAGCGAGAAGAGTGGAGCGACGAAGAGCGCGCGAGCCGGCCGCTCTCCGAAGAAGGCGAGATCGTCCCTGCAGAGGGTGGAACTACTGTTGCTCCGCGGCTTGAGCTGACAGTGGCAGTCGCAGTGGTGGACACGGTGCCCGGCAATGTGCTCGACGTGGCCGAGAAAGCGGCGTTGCTTGTCAAAGGAGAAGACGAAGGTGGTAGGCGGGTGAGGGGAACCAGGGGAGAGTTGCCCGCCCGGTTTCTCTGCTGCTGCGAATCTATCGACGAAGCTCGCTTGGCTGTTGGAGTTCCATCGCGGCTGCCCGGCTTCGAGGAGCTGGTCGTCGTCGTCGATGGTATGGGCGGAGACTGGGTGTTTTGCCTTTGTTGCTCCGACATGGCTGTCGATGTCCGACTGCGCCCGGCTGGCGTCGATTTAGTTTGCTGACTGGGCAATGAATTGAGTTCAAAGACGAGCCGACCAATAAGCGTGGGGGAGGAAGTGGGGTCGTCCTAGCGGACTTGAAGGAAGCAAGGATAGAGAGGAAGTTCAGATCGGAGAGTGACCGGAGCTGGTGTGCCTAGGGTCTTGTCCATGCAGGCCCCAACGTAATACTGTCGATAGCTCGATCTATTATTGCAACGCGTGTGGCTCCAGCAAGGATAAGGGCGCGAGTTGCTTGTGCATTGACTCGAATGTAGAGGGGTCATATTTGCACTAATCATCCTGACTATTATCTATTAGGCGAGATGGTCGAGCGGTCTAAGACGCAAGTTTAAGGAATCCCTTATAACTACTTGTCCTCCGGGGCGTGGGTTCGAATCCCACTCTCGTCACAATCTCTTTTTTTTTCTTCTATATTTTGCTCTGCTTCGGGTCATCAATATTGACTGTTGGGAATCACACCAGAGCAGCTCAGAGCTTCACTTTCATGTCATTAGGCTGATTGTGCTCCCTCAAGAAAGCTGAGAGAAGAGTTGAACGAGAGAAAGAGAAGAGGAAGAGACAGCCGATGCAATCAGCGAAGGGCAGGCCCGAGCCCTTGTCATGGGCTGGAGGAAATAAATAATAAGAAGACAAAAAAAAATAAAAAAGAGAGGGGAGGGGTAAAAGATAGAAAAAGCGCACCCACCGCTTTCGACACCTAGCGAGATCACCAATCACGAGGCTTACAGCTTCGCGACGTCTGGCTCGAATCTTCCAGCCTCACGCTGACGGGGTGGTGCGAAGGCACTCTGGAGCAGGCCAAGGTGTGAGTGTGCTTGCTTGGGTATTGCAACAGGTCTGCATTCCCCCCCCCAGACCGAATGGTGCGCGTCGTCTGATATGCTGACAATATCTGATCGCAAGACTGAACACCGCATTGCGCCCCAGCTCTGGGCAGGGCCAACGGGCGTGTAAGCGATCGACGAGCGCAACCTGAGGATGGAGACGGAGCCTAGGACAGGCGATGAGTCTCCACCGGTCAATGGCGCTCTGCCAACTCCATTGAATGGTGCCACTGGCCAGGAGCGGCGAGAAGATGCCACCGGTGCGGCGGTGGGGCCGCCACCGAACGGATTAGAGGCAGCAGCGGACGGCAGTGGAGGGGAGGATGCGGGCTTGACGGCGGAGGATGTCGCGACGCAAGCACAAGTCAGCCAAGGTTCTGCGACAGCACCGGATGACGTCAAGGCAGAGGAGCAAAGTGCTGCGGACGACGCTGGCGAGAGATCAGTAGCAGCCGAAAGCGCCACCGTCGAGCCCACAGCCAATGGGGCGATAGCAACGGCCGATTCGGCAGGGACAGAAGCAGAAGCTGGAACAGAGACAGGGGCAGCCGTTGCAGCAGCAGAAGCGTCTTCAGGCTCTGCTGCTTCACCCTCATCCTCGACTCCAACAACACTTGCTGGTACGGCACTTCACCCAATGCAGAAGAAGTTCACATCGCTCAATGTGAACAAGAAATTTCTGGAGAAGGCCAGCCCGACGTTGCCAGCGGCGGCTGCGCTGCCGAGCAAGCAAGCCGTGTCGTCTCCGCAGCCTCCTAGCCGTCTGTCTGCCATCTCGAGCGCCTCGAGGCTCACCTCGGCGAAGCTTTCGAGTGGGGCCAAAGCCCAGCCTGCTGGGTGGGGCGTCCTATCGTCTGCATCCCAAGGTGCTGCAGAGCCCGGCGGCTCGCCTTTACCTGCTCAGGCGGCCTCTGGGAGCGTGTCCAGCCCAGCAGTGCCAGCCGGCGTTGCTGCAACGAAGAATGCACCGGGAGCGGCTCCGTCACCAAAGCTTGTCACGGCGCTAGCGGGAAGCTCTGCAAACCGATCGACGTCGCCGCGAGGGGCCGAGGGTAGTCGAGGAAGCCCCAGCCTTCGCAATGCAGCCTTGACATCGACGAATCGGTCGACCAGTCCCGCCACAGGGTCCTCATCGGGCCCAAGCCTGGCACCCTGGGCGAAGATCAAGCTCGACGCGGCAGGAGCCACCAGCGCTGCACCGAGCAGGCCAGGTCAGAGGTCGAGCTTGGTCTCTGACTTCCCCACAGCGGCCGAGGCTGCGAGGCAAAAGCAAGAGGCGGAAAGGCGAGAAAAGGCGCAGGCGGCAGAGGCGGCTGCCAAGGCAGAGGCAGCGTTGCAGCAGCTTGAGCGCTTCCGTGGTACCTCGCTGGGGGCTGGCAACCATTGGGACGAGATGGACGACGATGCGCTCGACGATGTGGTCCAGTTTGGGGATGGCACACAGTACAAAGTCCCGCTTCGATCAGAGAGGGAAGAGGAGGAGAGCAGGGCAAGGGGCGACGACGAGGAAGAGGAAGAGGAACCTACAGGCCCTGTCAGCAAGGAGGAGCGCTTCAAAGACGTCAGCCATGACCGCAGCTGGCCTCCTAGAGCGCCGGCTCCGCACAGCGGGCCCAGTGAGGTGGCTGCTCGGCCACAACTTCAAGCTCGGACATCATCGCATGGCAATGCCGCCGAGGCGGGAGCTCATGCGCGGTCGCTCTTCAATGCACGGTCCAACAAGCTCGAGACGATGGCAATCCGAAGCGGCGAAGGTGTCTCACTTGATCCCTTATCGCCTGTTGAACGGGGAAGCTCCTTCCATTCGATGCACAGGGATCGGGAGATGCGCCCGCCTCATCGCCGGGAGCACCAGGAAGTTCCGACATCAGCCTCGACCGCACCCGTGCGAGCCTGGGGTCCGCTGGCACAGAGGCAAGCTTCTCTTAATCCAGACGCGCCAAAGCCGGTGGCTTCAGCAGCAGCAGCAGCTGCTGCTACCGTATCCCCTCCCGCATCCACGGCTGCTTCGAGCATACAATCGCCTCCGCAGCAACCAGCCAAGGCCGTCAGCATCGCAACTGCAGCACCGGCGCAAGCTTCTGCTGTCAAATCGCCCACCTTTGCACCTTTTGCAGCGCGTAAGGGGAGCGTCACGGAGCGACCATCGCCCTTTGTACCTCCGAAAGTCGAGCAACCAAGTGCTCCAGAGGATCGGGGAGCTTACGATTTCCCCCCGGCTAGGGCACCGAGGATCCCTCGGGCGGAACCTAATGTGCCGAGGCCATCGCCGTACGGAGCTGCCGCTCAAGCGCCTCGGTCAGACGCACAGATCAAGTCGCCTACTGCTGCTGCTGCTGCTGCTGCAGGAGCGCCTGCACCAACTGCCAACCAACGGGAAGAGATGCTCTCGGCTGCTGAGCGAGCGCGCAAGCGAAGAATGGAAGAGGAAGAGGAACGAGCAAAAGAAAAGGAGAGAGCGCGGGCAAAGGCAGCTGCTATCGAAGAAAAGATGCGAAAGGCAAAGGAAGAGGAAGAAGCCAAGAAGCGTCAAGCGGCGGCAGAGGCAGCAGTACGGGATGAGGAACGGCGGCAGAGGCAACGCCAGGAGGAAGAACGGCGCGCCGAAAGGCAGAAAAGACAGCGAGAGCAGGCAGAGTCAGCGACTGGCCGGGGTGGCAGCGGGCCGAAAGCGGGCAACGAGACAGAACAATGGCGGGGCAGATCCTCGAGGGATGGACCCCTCGATGCAGCCGCCGTTCCAAAGAGGCTGTCGCGAGCCGGGCCAGGACCTTCAGAGTCGCCTCTTAATGACCTTGCCTCGCGCACAAATGCCAGTAGACCTTCACCAAAGGCTCAGGAAGCTGCACCGGCACTCTTGTCCCCTGGCGATGAAGCAGTCTCCTGGCGCAGGTCTTTGCCCAATCAGAACTTATCAGCAGCACCTGGCTCAATTCCTCGGTCGCCTTCCGCTGTCGATCCGTCCCAGAGGCCCGGCCAAGTCACGGACCAGACGGGAAGAGCTGATCCTACCCCAAAGACGCTCTTGCAACGCCCGGACCGAGCTTCGACGCACCAATCGCCGAATCAGCAGCGCTCTCCTTTCGCTGCCTCTGGTCCCATGGAAGGCTTGGACGCTGTCATCACCCGAATTAAGGAAAACACGGCGCCTCCTACTGGTCCAAAGGCGGATTTGGGCCCCAATGTACCGACCGGGCCGAGGGCAACTGCTTCAGTCCGCCCTCCTCCCCAACAGCAAGCTGTTGGCGCACGGGGACCTGGCAGAGGCGCACGGGTTGAGATTGTGGCGCCCACCGATGCAGGACACCAAGCTGCTCAGGCGAGAGAGAGGGAAGCCCGCTTGCAACAGGGCAGCATCACCACGCCCGTCAGCGTTCTCAAGCCGGCATCTTCGAGGCCTGCACTCCCTCCGCAGAAACCAGAGCCAGAAGTGACGCGAACAGAGGTGCCGATGGACCCGCCTCCGGTGTGGAATCGATTCAAGGTCGGCGTCAAGCCTTCTTTGCCTTCGAAGCGGCTCAACAAGGGCCAGCTCAAGGCGCAGGCCCAACGTGTCGCCGCATACAAAACGGACGCCACCGCGCACAATGTCTATCCGCTGACTTGGGAACCACCGATCCCAACATTGTCGACACGAACCTTGTCTCGCGACGACCAATTCTTCCCCAAAAAGTACCGAAGAGGCATCGTCATTGCCAATGTCAGCGTTCCCACGGAGACTTTGGTGTCTGTCTCACCCTCCAAGCGTGGACGCAATGTAGCTCCAGAAAGACAAGAGCCCGTCCCGCCTGCCGTGCCGGCAATTGAGACGGCATCGAGTGATGCCGCGAAGCTGGATAAGTCCCCTGTCGTTGTCAAGATGCCAAAGTCGAGCAGCAACCGACGTCAGCAGCAGTCGCCACAAGATTCGCGACCTTCGGACCAGGCACACTGGCGTGCCAATGCAGCCCCGTTGGTGCCCAAACAGCAGCCTGATTCTGCGACCACGATGGCCATCCCAGCCATTTCGCCGCCTACGGCTCCCGCCTCGATGCGAGGACAGACGATCAGCGAGACCGGGTCTTCAACGATGGTCAACTTGCCTCAAACGCACTCGGCTTCCCTCCTTGCAGAAACGACCAAGGGACGACGAGACTCCAACAGTGGCGTCGCCTTTCATCCTTCGGTCGTTGCTCGAGACAGCTCGACCCCCTCGCCAGTCAGCTTCATGGTCAACAGCGAGCTCGAGACGCCAGGTAAGAAGCGTGCCGATGGATTCAGTCTCCCAGCACGCGTCAGCCCCAGCTCAGCTCAGTCAAAGGTAAGCCCTTATGTGTCTTTCTCCTCTTTTTCGGCTCCAAAGCTGACACGGGTACAAAAGACGCCCGCGCTTCCATCACCTGGCAACGTGAGCGCAGCGTCGACGTGGGGCCAAGGATCGCTTACGTTCCCCGTGATGGAGCCCTCGCCGTCGAATGCGCCAGACCGGGACCACATCAAGAATGTCTGGTCGCTGACCAACGGACAGAGCACTGATGGCGGAAGGCCAACGCAGAATTCGCTCAAGGGAATCGCCGATGATTTCCCCTCGACGATGAGCCTCGACATCCAGGATTTGCGCGCAGAGGAGGGCACGTCCCATCCGTCCTCGGCAGTGTCAGACGTAGGAGCGACGCGTTCCAACAACGGCTTTCCCTCGATGGGCCTGGTCCAACCGAGACACAACGGCTTTGCGTCAATGCATTCCAGTCCGATCCTCGGGTCACCCCTGAGCAACGCACAAGGGCTCGACCGCAGCGAGGAGCCACATAGGCAGAAGCAAGCAAAAGCCCAGTCGTTGCCGTCGAGCCGACACGAGAGCGCAACGCATTCGCCCTCGACGCCCAACATTCACCCGTCGCTTGGTCTTGACGAGAGCCAGCACCAGCCTAGCAAGCATCAAGCTCAGCAGACGACGCAGTATCAGCCACAGCCGCAGCACCAGCATCAGCATCAGCATCAGCATCAGCAGCATCAGCAGCATCAGCAGCAGCAGCAGCAGCAGCACCACCATCAAAGCCAGCACCAGCAGCATCCGCAACAACATCACTACCCTCGCCGGGGCAGCAATGCCGCTGGAGGCGTATTCGCCCAGCAGGAGCGAGGAGGAGCGAGGGCGGCCTTTTCACCGTATGCATATCCCAATACGCTGCAGAACAGCTACGGTGGTCAAGGCAGCTTCGGCAGCGCGATGAACCCAGGCTATGGTGGTAGAGGCCAGTCGGTCCAGTACGGATCGTACGGCAACCGTGTGGCGATGCAACACCAGCAGCAGCAACAGCAAACGCAACAGGCAGCAATGATGGGAGCGGGTGCATTCTCAGGCTACCGCCCGCCCATGGCCGTGTCAGCGTCGAGCGGCTGGCCTCTGGACTCACCTCAAGCCAGCGCTTATGCGACAACGAGCCCGACAGTCTCACCTGCTGGCAGCGGCGGCTATGCGAATGCCGGGTACCCTTTTCACCACCAGCAACAGTACCACCGGCCCGCTAGGTCGCCGATGAACCAGTATGCGGGTGGCAGTGGCGCTTTCTCGTCTTACCGCCCCTCTCACAACCGTGGGACGTCGTCGAGCTTCCAACACCACGGAGCGGGAGGTGCGGGCGCGAACGCCGGAGCAGACTCTGGCCCGACGACTTCAAGTGCAGGAACAGGCACAGGCGCAGGATCAGGAGCGGGGACGGGCGCAGGGTCTCAAAGTGCGACGGGGCTGCATGCACAGGCCAAGCCCTTCCACTACGATCCATATCGTCCCTATGACCCCTCCTCTTCCACTGTCTGGTGAGGGTCGACTACCGTTCTTTCATTTCGACTTCTTTTACCTGTCTTTCTCTTCTATTCTTTTCGGTGTGACGATGTGATAAAATCTTCTCTTTGTCCTTCTCGAAGATGGCTGTCAATTTCATTTCCTGGAGACAATTGCCTCTTTTGCGAATCTTTTGCGAAAGCTTTTTGCTTCCCTTCTCAGGCACCGCTCGGCAACGCTGCAAGCGACAAGTCCAGCCCGACGACTACACAACTGGTGAAGACACTGACTGGGTGGCAACAGGCAGCGAGCTGTGCTTTGTGTTGTTCTCCTTGTCTGATGGGCCACTTTCTTTTCATCGCCTTCCGCTGCCTCGCTACCCCGCTTCTTAAGCTTTCGTCTGAGCCTCGAGAGACAGACTGCTTCTGCGGGGATTGACTACTAATATACCTAGCTTACTTGATTGATTGACTGATTGGTCCACTACTTTGACCCTTGCCTCGCTTGACTGTGCCCGATACCATATTTAAGCATTCAGGACCGCTAGACTGGGGCGGTGAGGCGCTAAAATGCCGACTCTCCTGAGAAGAGAGAGAGTAGGAAAAAAAAAAGAAAAAAAAAGGAGAAAGAGACCGGTGGTACTCCCACGACGACCCCCGGCGGCAGACCAATAAGACGCCGGGATTCTTTTTCTCTCGATCTCTGGCTAGCTTTTCCCATTTGTTTTTTCCCATTTCCTCTCCGTCGCGTCTGTCCGTGTACGCTTGCGCGATGGGGTGCATGCAGGGGTTTTAGGGGACGGAAAATGAGAGAGAAGGAAAAAAAAAAAAAAAGGACGGGAAAAGCACTGTGACGACGCTACTGGTTTCAGAAGAGGCATGAGAGCCTAGCGGCCTTACAACCCTTCCTTGATCTCGCTCCCTCTCTTTTCTCCTATTTTGGACTATTTTTGAAGACCGACCCGCCGTGCGTTCTTTTTTGTCGTTAATACACCGCACCGAACCGCGCTTGCCTCAGGCAAAACTTCGGCAGATTGGGTCGTGCCACGGCACACGCCTCCGTAACAATGAACTACTTACACATACTAACTCCCAGCTCACTCGTCCTGTGCTGGAAGGGTTTTACCTCAAACTAGCTGGGGTTCAATACTATAATGGAGAATAGGAATGAACAACCGCTTTCCTGACCTTGTGGTTTGGCAGGCGGGACAGAGAGCAGGAACGAATGAGTAGTACGTACCTCTGCATTTTTCTCCTGTATTTACGCACTGTTGGTCTTGCACTCTTCTGCTGACCCATCCCGCCAGCCGACAGCCAGAACCCCCGCGCTCCTGTGCTTGGACCCCCTATACCCTATATAAAAGATCCGGGTCCCCACCCTCCTCGCGACCTCCCCCTCAACCACCATAAGACGCGTCGCTATCGGCTCGAGGAACCCTCCGCTGATTGTCCGTCCTTCCATCAAGTCAGAGCCGGGGGAAAGAAGACTCTCTTGCTGAGGAAGTCTCGACGACATCTACGCTCCATCACTACCTACTCAGTCTCGCCTGATCTTGCGATCCAGGTCGATTTACCACTGCTCCTCCTCGCAAACATATCCGACAACAACTACTTCTCGTCGTCATCATGGTCAAGCAAATGCCCGTCCTGACGGGTTATACCATTCGTGGTAGAACCCTTACTTCGCTCATTGCCCTCATCTCTGGTGTCGGTGAGTTCCTTCTTTCTATGCTGCCACAAAATCCCGCCACAATCCATTGACGAGCTGACCTGACGAACCGCACCATGACAGGCTTCCTCCTCTTCGGCTATGACCAGGGTGTCATGTCTGGTCTCTTTAGCGCTGGTCAATTCGCCAACGACTTTCCCAAGTTGGGCGAGGTCCTGCCTTTGGCGCCTGCCGACCCTCACAGCTCGCCAAAGAACCCGGAATTCAACTCCAATGTGCAGGGCGCCGTTACCGCTGTGAGCACTCGACTCAAGCGTCATTGTTGCATTTTTACAGAGATTGACTCTTGCTAAACTCCCTGGCGCAGATCTACGAAATCGGCGCCCTCTTTGGCTCCCTGATCGTTCTTTGGAAGGGTGATGCGATGGGCCGTCGCACGTCAATCGCCATTGGAGCCACGACAATGACTGTTGGTGCCATCATCATGGCTTCCGCCGGTGGCGCCAATTGTGGCGCTGGCTGCAACTCGACTGCATCCAAACTTGGTCAATTTACTGCTGGACGTATCATCACGGGCGTCGGAAACGGCATGAACACTTCGACGATTCCTATGTGGCAGTCTGAGCTCTCGAAGGCGCACAACCGTGGTCTTCTCGTGCTTATCGAGGGTGCTCTCATCTCTGCCGGTATCATGATTGCTGTGAGTTGTCCATTTACTACTATGCGCGCCACACCAAAAAAGCCTTTAGCTCACCCGTTGTCTCTCGCAGTACTGGGTTGATTACGGCTTCTACTGGCTCGACACATCGTCGGTTCAGTGGCGTTTCCCGATTGCGTTCCAATGTGCCTTTGCCATTGTGCTCCTGATCGGCATTCTCTGTCTGCCGGAAAGCCCGCGTTGGCTGGTCAAGAAGGGAGAGAACGAGCAGGCTGCCAAGGTTCTTGCGCAGATCGACAGCACCACGCCCGACGATGTCATGGTCCAGACCACGCTTCGTCAGCTCCAGGAGGCCATTCAGGGAGCCGAAGAGCTTCTTGGTGACTTCAGCTACAAGGAGCTTCTCACCCACGGACGCGAGCAGAACTTCTACCGAACGGCCATTGCCTTCACTGCCCAGGCCTTCCAGCAACTTTCAGGTATCAACCTCATCACGTACTACGCCACGACTGTCTTCTTGTCTATCATTCCCGAGCAAAAGACGGCTCGTTTGTTGACGTGCGGAAACGGAACGGAGTACTTTGCTGCCTCGCTCGTCGCCCTCTTCCTCATCGACACGCTCGGTCGACGCAAGCTCATGCTTTCTACCGCATTCATGATGAGTGTCTCGATGGCTATTCTTGCTGGAACCGTTTCGGCCGTCAATGAGTCGGCGAAACAGGGCATCAGCGGTATTCCCGAGTCATACGCGGCTGCCTTCTTCCTCTACTTCTTCAACACTATGTTCGCATTTGGCTGGCTCGGCATGACGTGGCTCTACCCTCCCGAGATTACGCCCATTCGAATTCGTGCGCCCGCATCGGCTATCGCCACATCATCCAACTGGCTCTTCAACTTCCTCATCGTCATGATCACTCCCCCCGCTTTCGCTTCGATCGAATACAAAACCTACATCATCTTCGCCGTCCTCAACATGTCCTTCATCCCCGTCATCTGGGCCTTCTTCCCCGAGACGAAGCGCCGCAGTCTCGAAGAGATGGACCTCATTTTTGCAGAGGCCCACGACACGGGACGTTTCTTCCGGATGAGCCGACTCATGACTGAGGCTTGCCACCTGTCGCTGACGAAGAAGCACCTCACGTCCGAGGAGCTCGATCTCGAGCTTGTCAAGCGATTCGGCGAGGAGCACCTCCAGCACACGCGAAGCCGGTCGGGCGCCGCCGACGCAGTCAAGGCCGCTCCCGCTGGCGAGAAGGAAGACTTTGCCGAGAAGGCCGCCAGCGCCGAGGTTGACAACTCCCCCAATGGCCGCGACGCCCAATCGTCGAGATCAGGCTCCAACTCGGAGCACTAGAGGGCGGAACATAATATCATCGCAATCTCTCCCGATTGATACCTTCACATTCTTTCGCTCTCTTTTCCTCAATACCCTACCTCTCCCGACTAGGCCCCTCTGCATGCCGCGGGTGACGAAATACGTGCGCATTGGGAAGGGTGAGGCGGGTCTACAAGATGAGCCCTTATTAGATATTCTCCTTTCCTTTGAATAGCGACGCCTACGTCTCTCTTCTCTTGTGCAGCAACTATCTTCCTCTGTGAATGAATCACGCAAATTGAGTCAAATACAACAGCACTCAGGAACAAGTTATTTCATGTGCTCGTGTTCCAGGGGCGTTTGAAGTTATTGACTTGATAGTGCAGCAGATACAAACAGGAAGCTACCACTGGACGGCCAGACCACTGACGGCTTCGTCTTGAACACCGCGGTACTCTGTCCGAAAAAGCTTGTGCCTTTGTTCGTTGCTTTCACCACAGAGATGCTTCCGAACAGCATGCGCGAGTGCGCCTGCTGCTGCCTCTGTGTCAAGACCCTTGCGAGCCTCTGCATTTGTAGTCAGAGCGCCGAGAATTCGCTTGGAGACATCACCACCACCCTCGATGGCTTGAATTCCATGTGGGCTGGCTGCTCCAGAAGATCCCCCTACCGCCGTCCCGCCCCAGTACGCTCGTTCCACACGCTTGACCCAATCCTTGGATGTGCCCTGCCATCCTTGGCTCTGGACCTTGTGCTCCTCAACGTCGTCCACGTCCATTCCTTCGTCGTCTTCTTGTCCAGCTTCTCGTCCATTGCTCGCCCATCCGTTTTGGTAGCCTTCCGGATCGAGCTGGGTTGGAGGTGTGGCAGATTCTACAATGGCCTCCGTCACTTCCGTGGTAATGGTCCTTGCCGTCAAGGAATTGTTGCTCTGCATCTGGTCTTGCCCCTCGATTCCGTTGGCGCCACTTGGCGGGCGAAGCTGACCACCGCCATTGACACATCCTCCAGGGCAGGCCATGACCTCAATGTAGTCATACGGCCTTGCTTCCTCCTCTTCTTCCGGCGACGGTTTCTTGACGATCTCCTGCGCCCTCTGTCCGTTCATCGCCCCGCCTCTTCTCACCATTCCACCTCGTCCCGCAGCGTTCATCCTCATGCCCCTCCCTCTCGCCCCTCGACCGCCAGCCGCCGGACTTTGACGTCCGGCGTCATCGGCAAAAGTTGCGTCGATCCTCGAGGCAGCGGCAGCCTTTTTGCTCTTCAGGCCAGTCTGCTTCTGGACCTTCCTGACGAGGTTCTGAAGGTTGCGAAACCCGTAGCATTGCGCACCCTTGAAGAGAATGTCGCCTACGGCGGCATCTGGGCCAGGTGGTGCACGAAGAATGTACTCGGTGTAGTCTGCCGATCTGATCGTCCTGACAGACAGCTTAGGCAGAGTCGACGTCGAGGACGAAGGAGCAGAAGAGAGATGACTGACCCAGAGCTGCCGCATAAGCTCAAAGAGGTAGGAGCCCGACGAGGAGCCAGGGTGCTGGAGCATGCTCGGGATGGCTCGTGGTTCGACGACACTGCCGGTGTCACATGAAGAGTCCGACGGCGGCGGCGTCATGATCGCATCCTCCTGTCCAACGACCCGATCCTCCCCGTCTATAGGCGCAGTCACGTCGAAGCCATCGTCTCGCATCATCCCATCGAGCTCGCCCGTGGTGATGACGCAATCGACGTCCCTCGTCGATGTGACGTCGTCAAAGAAGTCCTGCCGGGATGCTTCGAGCTTCTTGTCATAGCACGGCATAACGGTGACGTGGTATACGCTTGTTGATTGGTCTTCGTAGAGGTAGCGCTTGGCAAGCAGACCTGCCATCTGCTGTGGCGATCTCGTCTTGCTGATCAGGGGAAGCAGCTCGCCGTGTGTCTTTTCCGCGTAGCAGATCCACCCGGGGCAGGCGCTCGCAAGCATCGGCAGCAGCGGCTCGCTTCTCTCCTCCTTCTTCATCGCCACTGTCCTCTCTTGAAACTCAGTAACGTGCTCTTGCAGCGAGAGATGCCGAGCGAAAGTGGTATCCATGACAACGTCGAAATCAAGCCGGGTGGTCAGGTATCGTTCGATTCGCCTGAGCAGTCTATCGAGCGGGATGAAGCTCTCTCTTCCCAGCGAGTACCGAGCCGAGATGGAGGCGAGCGTCTGCGGAGAGATGGAAGCGACGAGCCGGAGTGCTTTGCCCTCGCTCCGCTTCTCCTGGACCACACGCCTGAGCTCGTCGGTCGACTGCATCCCAATCAGGACGCTCTCGGCGCTCGTCACGCACCCGCTGCAGGCCAGGCAATCGTTGAGGCTGATCTCGGCCGTCTCGAGCTTCGTGCGAGCCCGTGGCTGCTTGTCGCCTGCCAACGTCGAAGCAGTAGCAGCCGCGGGTCTCGACGATGACTCGTAGTAGTCGCCCGATTCGTCAATGGCTATCTCCGTTGACGCGCCAGCGCCTTCGACGGCAGACTCTGGCTGGGGCGCATCTTTGCCCTCGACGGGCTTGATGCATGCTTGCGATGGGCCCAGATAGTCGTTGAGGTCCGTCAACGTCAACGCCCCCGAGAAAGCCATCGTAGCTAGTCTTGGTGGTGGTCGTCTGAGATTGCAAATCAAATTGGCCACCGAGCTTCACAAAATTTTGAAAAATATCTCCGAGATCAACAAACGCGACGACGCCTGACTCCCTCATTCACCAGTGGCCAATCACAGGGACTGCATTCCACGACGATGCCATTTGACAATGAAGATGACGATTGTGCGTACATGTTTGGGATAATGAGGGTGCTGCGAACTATTAAATGAATACTGGAGCGTCACGACGGCGATCACTCGTCGATTTCAGCTTGACACCTTCCAAGAAGCGCGAGCAGGCCGCCTCAACGTCGACGCGCTCACGGGGGCATTCGGCATTGAGGACGATGTTGCCCTGCTGACCCACGGCGACATCGTCCTCGATGCGGATACCCATGCCCCAGAATGCCTTGGGCACTCCACTTGTGTGCTCCGAGCAGTACACGGCCGGCTCGACCGAGAGGCACATGCCCTCTTCGAGCCGCGTTGTCCTTTCGACCGAGGGGGTATCGTGCAGGTCCATCCCGAGCCAGTGTGACAGAGCGTGGGGATAGATTTCGCGCTCCAACACACCGGGTCTTAGGTCGAAGCCCAACGCCCTGAGCTCCGCGGCCAGCATCTCTACTGACCGACGGTGGAGTTCGGCCAAGGTGTACGCTTGGCTCTGGCTCACCAGCGCCGTGCAGCTTCGCAAGACACGCAAGACGGCCTCGTACAGATCCGCTTGAGGTCCACTGAATTTGCCGTCGCTGTTGACGGGGAACGCTCGTGTAATGTCGCTTACATAGCCGTCCAGCTCGCAACCGGCGTCCATGCACACCATGTCGCCCGCCCTGCAGACATCGTCATTGTTGACGTAATGGATCGTCAGCGCATTGCTGCCCGATGCCACGACGGGGACATAGGCGGGCCGCTGGGCGCCAGCGAGTGAACATGACGCCTCGAACCGCGATTGGAGCGCGGACTCGACCATGCCTGGTCGCACGAACTCCATCGTCTGGATCATGGCCTCGGATCCTATCCGACCGGCACGACGCATCAGTCTCAATTCGTTTGTCGACTTTCGCAGTCGCAGCTTGTCGAGCGTAGGCGACAGTCTCTGGCTCTTGACTGGATCGCCCAAGAGCTTGACCATGGCCTCGAAGTCGGCCTTTTTGGGCAGCATGTCGTAGGGTGTTGGACTAGGGGGTGACAGGAAATTGAGGATCGACGGCATCTTCGATGCCCTGCTCGACATGCGTGGTACAGTCGGTGTCGGTGATGGCTCAACATAGATGTGGTTGCTTCGAGGTAGAACATCCTTGAGGTGATTGAGGAAAGTGGAAGGATCCATTGCATAGGCCTGTTGTGGCATGCAATCGTCAGTCTCTAAGCTTTTGAATGCAGCCTACGACGGAAAAATTTCCGCACCTCATCTGCGCCAAACACGTCCGTCGCTCCATCAATGCCTGACCGTGGTCCGTTCCAAGTCTCATTTGCTTCGTCTCGGTCTTGCACAAACATAGTCATCTTGTAACCCCTCGAACTAGAGTCCTTCTCCAACACCACTGCTGCGTCCGGCTCCTGGAAGCCAGTCAGGTAGAGGAAGTTCGAATCCTGTCTGAAACGGTAGAAGATGTTGCCACTCATGCTCTTGACACGGCCCGCCATGCAAACGACGATGCTCCTCTCGGGTAATCGATCCATCAATCTTCTCCGTCGGTCCTCGTACTCGCTCGCAGGGATGCCGGGCGTCAGCTCATCATGGGCCACCTGAATATTGCCATGAGGATCCAGAGGCGCCAAGTCTGCTCTTGCCTCGAGTGAGAGTCGATGCGGAAAGAGGTGTGGGTGCGTGTGCGGAAGAGGTTGACCGTATCTTCTCCGCGCCTGCTGGGGATGCCGAGCTGGTGCAAGACTCGCAGACGAGGAAGGATGGTCTGTCAACCGAGCGGAGGCGCTATAGCTCCGAGATCCAGCTGCCGCCCGTCGAGACACAGCCGCAGAAGAGCAACAAGGCTGCCCCACGGCCAGCAATGGCCGCATCGCCCTCGACATGACCTTAGATCTGATAGCGAAGCAGAGTGCAGCAGAAAGTGAGAATGAAACAGGCAAAAAGGTGGAGAGCGAAAAAGCAACTCGGCCGAAAAGCGCGTCCTTGCCTTGCTCACCAGTCTCTCCTTCGTCTGCAGGCTGCAGAGAGATTCGCATCAACCACGTCAGACGGGGAGGATTACAACGACAAGTCGAGGGGCTGAGCAAGGAGCAATCTTCTCACGCATCATAGGGACGACAAGGCTTCCTCGCACCTTCCGCCTCTGCACACCATTGCATCGAGATCTGGTGCAGGACCAGGCAGGAGAAGGAGAGAGAGAGGGTGTGCAAAGTCCTGAGGAATGGCAACCCTCAATGGCATCCACGGCGGAGCTGCCGGCTCCTCGTCCAATGGCCTCTCTTATGAGTCTCAGCCGAAAATTACACTTCGAGCTTTGACGAGAGAACGAGCAAATTTCGTCCTTGAGGGAGTAGATCTGAGGTGAGAGAAGAGAATCCTCATCTACGCATCGCTTGGTCAAACGCTCAAAGGAGACTATCCGTCCCTCATGACCAGCTTTGCGAACTCGTTGAGAAGAGCCATGATCGCCGATATACCAACGTGCGCAATCGATATGGTTGAGATCCAGTCCAACACGACGCCGTTGCCGGATGAAATGCTGGCACATCGGTTAGGCATGGTGCCGTTGATCAGCGCCGACACAAGTCGAGTCTTGGTGGATCATCGGGTGGGTACAGAAGATCATGCTGGGCGGCAGGCTTTTCAAGCTGATGTTTGGCTGCTGCCTTGTAGGAGTGCTCGTGCGAAGAGGGTTGCGATCGCTGCAGTGTCGAATTGACCTTGCACGCCAAATGCGAGGAGCGAGGCATCATGCAGGTCACATCAAAGCATCTCATCCGCTCAAATAGCCTGGGCAGCCCTTACGGCGATGACGAAGCGATGAATGCGATGGGACCTATGCCAAGCGCGCAAAAGTCGCTCGACTTTGGCAAACCAATCGGATTCGATGATCCGTCCGTGGATGGCGTCATGCTGGTCAAGATGAGAAAGGGCCAGGAGCTCAAGATCCGGTGTATTGCGCGCAAGGTACGCTTCCAAAGCTTTTCGGTATCGAGAATTTGAGAGACTGACATTTGGAGCTTTCCACTTCTCGCAGGGGTTCGCGAAGGAGCATGCAAAATGGTCGCCCGTTTCTGCTATTGGCTTCGAGTACGATCCGTACAATGCCCTCCGACACACGGCGTACTGGTATGAGCTCGACGCCAAGGCTGAATGGCCGCTCTCTGACAACGCTAGAGAGGAGGAAGCACCACCAGAAGGCGCGCCGTTCGACTACAACCGGAAGGCGGATCGGTTCTACTTTGACGTGGAGACTGTCGGTAGCATGTCGCCCGTGGAAGTCGTTGAGACGGTGAGTGCTCTTTCATGAAAAGCCTCTTCTTTTGTCGTTCAGGGATTCGTGCTGATCTAATTTCCCGCATGTCTGCTACAGGGCCTTCATATTCTCGAACTGAGAACCGCGCAGGTGGTGCAGGAACTCGGTGTGCTCCTGGAAGGGCCTGTCGATGGGGACGCAGGCGGAGCAATGCCGAACGGCAACGGCCTGGACTATGGTGGCGGGCAAGATGGGTATGGCGGTGCCGGGGCCGGTGGCTACGACTATGGGAATGGCGGCATCAACGGAACCGGAGGAGCAGGAGGCGGATATGCCTACTAAACCGCGCCGTTGCATGATTCAAGGGAGTTTTCGCTCAAACGCACGATGGCGGCGAGTCCGCCGCCCTACTGTAAAAATCCTACTTGCCCCTCTTAGACACAGGGAGAGAGGCGGCCATTTCTTTGCACCGTAATCCACAAAACGGAGAGTCATCAATTGCACAATTCTTTCTCGTTTCATTTCATTTCAAGGCGGAAGAAGAGGAAAAGAGGAGAGAAGCCTCAGGCGAAGAGCGACTTGTTCATAAGGACGAGAATTGAAGTGAAGGATGTGGGAGAAACAAAGACACCATAAGAAGGACAAGGAGGAGACACAAGAGAGGCAAGAGGGAAATGAGGGGAAAAAGGCGAATGAAAGGAGAGGAAAGAGAAGATGACTTCGGGTAGGCTCCTTCTTCGGGTGCGTCTGACCTCTTTTAGTTTTGTGTGAGAACAGCCGCCGGATCCCCCTTTCATCCGTGGCCTTCTCCTCCCAGCTCCCCCTCTTTCTGCTTGGTCGGCCCAAATCCACCATCGTGCATCTATTCCCAGCCGGCTGTCCCCATGAGACTTGCATGCGTTTAGAAGCACTTCCTGTGGACGATAGCAGGTCCAGACTCGTCGTACTCGGACTTGGTGACCCACATCTGGGCGAAGGTCGAGAGCGACGCCAGAATCGAACCACCAATCCAGACCGAGTACTTCCTCTCCGGAGGCGCCACAATCTTGACCTTCATGCTCGAGGGGGCCAGGGCAGTGATCTCCTTCTGCATACGGTCGCTGATGCCGGCGTACATGGTCGTACCACCCGACATGACAATGTTGCCGTACAGGTCCTTACGGATGTCCAGGTCGCACTTCATGATCGAGTTGTCTGCAGTTGAAAAGGAGTCAGCGGAATGCCGCGGGAATAAAATAAAAGAAGGAAAGACTTACAGGTCGTCTCGTGGATACCAGAGGCTTCGAGGCCGAGGAACGAGGGCTGGAAGAGAGCCTCAGGAGCACGGAAGCGCTCGTTACCGATGGTGATGACCTGGCCGTCGGGAAGCTCGTAGCTCTTCTCGAGAGCAGACGACTGGCTGGCCGTCTGCATCTCCTGCTCAAAGTCAAGGGCAACGTAGCAGAGCTTCTCCTTGATGTCACGGACAATTTCGCGCTCGGCAGTCGTCGTGAAGGGGTAGCCACGCTCCATGAGGATCTTGACGAGGTGCTCCGTCAGGTCACGACCGGCAAGGTCGAGACGAAGAATGGCGTGAGGAAGCGAGTAGCCCTCGTAGATGGGGACAGTGTGGGTAACACCGTCACCCGAGTCGAGAACGATACCGGTGGTACGACCGGAAGCATAGAGCGACAGGACGGCCTGGATAGCAACGTAGAACGCAGGGGCGTTGAAGGTCTCAAACATGATCTGCGTCATCTTCTCTCGGTTCGCCTTGGGGTTGAGGGGAGCCTCAGTGAGCAGGACGGGGTGCTCCTCAGGGGCGACACGCAGCTCGTTGTAGAAGGTGTGGTGCCAGATCTTCTCCATGTCGTCCCAGTTGGTCACGATACCGTGCTCGATGGGGTACTTGAGCGTCAAGATACCACGCTTCGACTGCGCCTCGTCTCCAACGTACGAATCCTTGAAGCAGGCGTCTCAGTCACCTTTTTCTCTTCTCTGCTTTTGCCATTCATAGTGTCTCACCTTCTGGCCCATGCCGACCATCACACCCTGGTGACGGGGTCGGCCGACAATCGAAGGGAAGACGGCACGAGGAGCATCGTCACCGGCGAAACCGGCTACAAGCAAATGTCTCAGCACGATTGTCCTGCAAGCACATTTGGGTCACCAGACTCACCCTTGCACATGCCCGAACCATTGTCGATAACGAGCTGAAGAAGAAGGGTGTGGGATCCTGGTAAGAAACTATCTGTTCGAGGATTGGCTCGCTCAAACTTACAGCAGCAACCTCGTCTGTGTGGCAAAGGGGGGCGCAGAGGCGATAAAGGGACAATGGAGCCAGTCAGTACTTGTCTACACCCGCAACTATATTCGCGTCTCGCGTTGGCGGTGCGTGGCGGAGCTATCGACACCGGGAAGAAGGATTGGCAGGGTCCGTCGAGGCCCAATTAATGCCGAGGTGGTACCTCGATGGACCAAGTGCAAAGCCCAGAGGTCGATGATAAACGCAACCGAGAGTCTTTTTTGGCTGCTCCTCATGCCCAATGCTGAGGTTCCAAGGCCATCTGCCACAGCCAGCAACAGAAGCAACATGCTGCGCTCGCCAGCCAGGGTCGACCCTTCCTGGCCACCCTCGTAGCAAGCCGATGTCCTGTGCTTCGTTACTCACCTTCCATGTTGGCTTGTTGATTATCAAAAGGTGAGCTGGAGTAGTTGTTGACGAGACCAAAAAGGCTAGGTACGGTAAAAAGAGGTAAGAAGGAAGAGGCGAAGGAACGGTCGTTATGGAAAGGGAGAAGACTCAAGATAGCTAGAAATGCGCGCGCCAAGTGGCTGAAGGCCAGCTCTCTCTCTGTGTCTAGCTCTTTCTCGCTAAAGCGCATTGCTGGCCGCCAGCTCACTCACTGCCACAGCCCTTTTCCAACTTTGTGTCGCACGTGGCACGCGTTCTGAGGACAAAGGCGCTAAGCCAATTTTCCCTTATACTAACGGGATTGCTTAGCAGAACAACAGACTGAGATGGAGCAGAATTTGTGTCTGGATCACCATTGCTAATGAGAACCAAGGAAGGAAAGGATGGTACAAGAATCTTACGAGGAGAGAGACCTTGTGGATATTGACATCGCCGAGACGAATGTAAAGGGGGGGCTAGGGGGCTGAATCCAAAGGGTCGAGGGGCGCGAACATAGGAATTAAGAGAGTCTGGGAATACGAACGGACGAGAAAGACGAAGGAGGGGTGGGTGTAGGAGAGAGCGCGCGGAAATCGCTCATGCATTGAGGCCCTCCTTGAAGGTCCGGCCGCCTCGGAAGGCGCCGCCACCAATGACGATGACCATGGCCAGCATACCAGTAAGAATAATCCTGTAGCAACTTCGTTAGCATCTCTAGCTCAAACCCACGATTGAGAAGATGGAGACTCACCAGGCAATCCAGCTGAAGGCCATGAGGGCTTCCATGCTGCCGCAGTACCGAAGATCTGAGGTAGAGCAGTTCTGCGCGCCGTGCATGGAGCCCGTGACCGCACCGGCGCCCGCGAGGAAGAAGATCCATGTGAGGACGATCCAGATGGCATGGCCGGCAATCGAAGTGACTACGCCTCCCTTACCGACGAGGAAGAGAACGAGGTAGACGATGGAAAAGAGGAAGGTCCACCAGCCGACGAAGACAGAGTAGCGGACAGCGCCAGTAATGGCGGACGACTGGGCGTTGCCCTTGTTGTTGAAGTCAGTCGTCAGCGTCGAGGCGATGACAGCCACGATGAACGAGACGAAGGCGAGGAGTCCGAAGATGGCCGGGTGTCTTTTTTGGTGTTGTTGCCATGTCAGCGCGCGTGCTATTAAATTAACGGAGCCTGCATCCGCATGCACTCACCCTCGGCGAATGGCGGCGGAAGAGTCAACCATTTTGTCCTGTTTGCTTGAAAAGGTGGTGTTGTAGTGCTAGCTGTGAAGAGTGACAATGGTTGTGAGTGGCGAGAGCGTCAGCAATGCAACATCCAACAATTGTCGGCGAAAGGAGAGCGTGGGCTGAAAAATAAAAGCAGAGGAAGGCGGGGCTGTGCGCCGACGACGTCATTACTCACAGGAGGCGGCAGAGGTATCTTTCGAAGGATGCGGTCGCTGCGGTGGGCGTCGGGCGAGATTAGCAAGAACTATAGAGGATGAGGGCCTAGGCGACGGAGAGGAGTGTCGATGGTAGAAGAGAAGAGAGAGATGAGTAGGAGGTGAGGGAGAGGTGGATGGACGAGAATCTGTTTGGCTCAGAAGTCGCCGATGATATGTGAGGCCGACCCACGCACGTACGCTACTCTCCACCCGTTTTCTCTTTCCCTTCATTTTTTTTTTTATTGTCATGCCATCTTTTTACCTCCTCCGCGCTCGCTCCACTCTTGGCCAGATACAATTCGGGCCTCTTTCTTCCACATTTTTTAATTCGGAAGAAGGAAACCGAGAAGCGCGCTACGTCATTGGCAATTCAAATCCCCTTCCCTGTGCTCTCAATAATGCACCAAAGGATACAGAGGAACGGACGGAAGCAGAAGAAGCACAACCCTTGACTCGAGATCTCATTCATGCCATGCCAACATACAGGTACAGCCCTCGGCACAATGCTTTCTCTTGGCCCAGACCGTTAGTCATCTGATGAAGGAATGACATAGCTTCTCGGCGGTCCCTAATTCGGCGTGATCGCTTCTTGTGGAGCCGACAGGGGAGCCCGTCATAATTTCTTCCACTCTTCAATGACGCATGGACCTCATCAGGTGTGGCTTCCTGTACTTCCAATTTGAATGCCGCGATCACCCCTCTCATGTCAGACGCTCGCAGGGGCGAAAGTGAGAGAGAAGACATTGCTCGATTGATTGGATAAGATAAGAGAGAAACATTAAGAAAGGGCCATCCCTTTTGAGTCTGTCTTGTGTGGTATCGTTGAGTATGTAGATATGGAGAGAGAAAAAGGAAAAGAAAAAGGGTGGAAGGGAGGGAGAAGAGAGTACGGAGGATCACCTTGCCAAATGCTGATAGAGGCTCGACTGCTCAAATTGCCAACCTTCGAGCGGGTGTGGGAATACGTGCTCGAGCAGCCTCGATGCCGTCGGTCGCTTTGTCGGGTCGACGTAGAAGCACGTCTTGAGAAAGTGTGTCGCCGCCTTGCTCAGACGCACGTCGGGTGGGATGGGCGGCGCTTTGCGTTCAGCACCAATCTTGAACATGGCGTGGACGGCTTCTTCCTCGGACCAGGGTCTTCGACCTGCAAACATCTCCAGCACCACGCAGCCAAGACTCCAGATGTCGACCTTGGCAGAGTAGCCTCTGGAGCTGAGCGACATGACCTCCGGTGCCATCCAGAAGATGCTGCCCTGGACCGACATGGAGGCGACGTTGCCATAAATGTCTTCGCTCTTTCGCACCGTGCCAAAGTCGGAGATCTTGACGGTTCCCTGGTGGTCGACGAGGAGGTTGTCGGCCTTGAGGTCGCGGTGGAGAATGTTGCGGCCGTGGAGGTAGCTCAAGCCCTCGAGAATCTGATTGAGGAACGACTTGATCGTAGCCTCCTCGAGCTTGCCATGCTTGCGCAAGCAGCTGCCGACGCTCCCACCTGGCACATACTCGAGGAAAATGCTCAGCGTCTGCCTGGTCTCCTCGTAGCCGAGGTAGGACACAATGTTGGGATGGTCCAGGTCCTTGAGCGTCTCAATTTCCGACTTGAGAGCCGCGACGACGTTCTTCTGCCGGATGTCCTCGCGATCTGAAGCCGTTGTTGGCAGCTCGACCTGCTTGACGGCGATCATCTCTCCCGTCGTCGCATTGAGAGCGAGGTAGACCCTTCCGTATGTGCCTCTGCCGATAAGGTCGCCCTTGACCCACTTGAAGACGGGCCTGCCGCTGCCCCCTTCGCTCGAAGGTGATTCGAGTGAGGTGGCCGAAGTAGGGTCCACGCCCGGCGTCACTTCGACGACCCGACCGCCCCAGAGCTTGGTGCTGCGCCGTCTCGCGAGCCTGTTGTCGGCCTCGTCATCACCGGGTGCCTGCGCATCGGCGTGTCGACGCTCGATGGCCTCGGCTCGATCCATGAATCTCTTTCGGTCTTGTGCCACAATCCGAATGGACTTCTTGTGTCGGCCAATCGCGCCGCCGCCGCCGCCGCCGCCAGCGCGCAACGTTGGCGCAACTGCAGCCGGGGGGGAGATCGGCCGCAGCGGCGTCAGCGACGAAGTTCCAAGAGCCGTGTGAGCGGCAGCGGGGTTTGAGACTGGCGTCTGCTCGCTGCCAATGAGAGGGCTGCCCGGCGCATTTGCTGCCTCAAGGACAGGCTTGTCCAGGTCGAGCTTTGGGAAGAAGTCGTCGAGGTTTTCGTAGAGCAGCTCGGGAGGTGGACGAGAAGCCCAGTCGGTGTCGTCGCGCCGAGCAAACGAGGTGCTCCTGTGCAAGTTGCTGCCCGAGCTCGAAGAAGACGCAGTAGTCGTCGTCGACGAGGACGAGGGACGTCGGTTCTCGGAAAGTGGTGGACCTGGCTCGTCTTTTGTCGGCGTCATGGTCAACGACGCTGGCGGCTCAATGCGAGAAGCGGCTCCCACCGACTTGGGGGGCGACTTGGGCCCTTGGGGCGACACTCGAGGGGAAGACGTAGGCAGATTGTGACGAAGGCCAAGACCGTGCTGCACCAGACTGGGCGAGTGGTGTCCTGTCGACGCGTTCGGCCCATTGATCTGGATGGTGAGCACCGGTCGATGAGGACTCGCAGCCTGTCCTGGTGAACCTGGCGGCCTGTGAATAGCATGCGTTTCGTCCGGACGCAGCGTGGCTTGACTGAGCGAAGCAGGAGAGTCGGTCAGAGGCTTGATGTCCTCGTTGGCCAGTTGCCGTGCGTCTTTGCCTTTGTCTTTCGATCCAGATCCAGACGCAAGGGGTTGGAGTGACGCGACAACGTCTTCTTTTGGAGCCATAGGCTTCATCCAGGTTCCTCCTTCGAGCTCTTCCTCATCGTCTTCGAAATCATCCCAGGAAGTAGGCTCATCTTGTGCCTCTTCCGCTGCCCTTGTCTTCTGTACCTCGACGGCGCTATCACTCGTCGCAGCCCCGGCTGCCGCCATCGTCGGTGTTCTTGAGGTAGCGTCAGCAGCACCAGATGGTTGAGTTCCACTGGCGAACACGGAAGATGCCGCAGACGACGGGGCGGCACCAGCCCTAAGCGTGCTGCTGTCCGAGTCTTCGAGCAAGTCACCCTCGCGAACACCGCGGCCGTCGCCGGTACGCGCGCTAAGTGACGAGATGACCTTCCTCCAGTCGCCCACTTTGAGCGTGTCGGAGTCCTTTGGAGCATCGCGCAGCTCTTCGACGTGCTCGCGGTCGTCCGCCACCGCCGACGAAGGCTGGCTTGGCGGCGTGGGCAGAGGCCGCATCTTGAGGAGCTCTGAGTCGTCGAGCGAAGCCTTTCTGCTCAGGCTCGTGCTGCTGCTCGCGTACGGCAGCTGCGTCGACGAAGCAGCCGACATGAGCTCCTTTGTCTCGGGGCTCAGAGGTCCACTCTGCGAGCTGCGAGCAGACGTGGGCGCGCTAAACGAGTCGTCGTTGGCATCCCTTGGCTTCTGCACACCTTCGTCGGAGGATATATTGCGGCGGTGAGAGACATGAGAAGCAGACGAAGCAAACGAGGAGCCAGACGACCTCTCGGAGCCTTGAGCCGGGTGCTGCGTGTTGTTGACACTCGAGCCTGTTCCGTCGACGGCAGCGGTGTGAGGACGCATCATGCGGGCCTGCTGTGGCTGCAGAGGCTTCTGCAACATCGCCTGCCCCTGCTGGTTGCGTGTCGAGCTCTGCCTCTCCTCGTCTTCAAAGGTGGAAGGTATGCTCCTCCGCGAACTTGACACGTACGGGACTTCCACGGGCACCTGCTGCTGCTGCTGCTGCTGCTGCTGCTGCTGCTGATCGTAGTGGTATTGCTGTGGCTGCTGTGGCTGCTGTGGCTGCTGTGGCTGCTGTGGCTGCTGTGGCTGCTGCTGCTGAGGCGGTTGGTGTTGGTGATATTGCGGGTGATACTGCTGCAGGTGCTGCTGTGCTTGCGGGGGATGCTGCTGGTAGTGGTGGTGGAACGAATGCTGCTGCTGCGATGGTCTGGAAGAGTTCATGGACCCAAAGCCAATGGCACTGTGAGGCGGCGGAGGCCCGTGAGGCGATGTCAATGACGCTTCGCTGGGCCAGTCATAACTTCGGTTCGAGGGCCTTGGCGTGCGATAGTCCCGAGGTCCAAATGGCTGCTGGTGCGTCGATTGAGGGCTGAAAGTAGGGGCACTCGGGCGATGCATCGTCTCCTGGACAGTCATGCCCGGCTGCAGCGAGCCTTGAGAAGCCACGGCGTGACGCTGAAAGGCCGACACCTCGCGGGAGCTCGAGTTGGGAAAATGCATCGATGTGAATGGATCCTCGCGTTGCGGCAGTGCCAGCGGTGCCGGTGGCGGAGTAGGAGGTGGCCCACCAGGCCGGAAGCGTTGATGCTCGTGGAAGGTGTGGGGCCGTACAGGGAAAGGCCTTGGATCAAACGGCGATCTGGCACCAAACTCGTTCACGCTCGTCCCTGGCCGAAGCATCTGTGCGGGCGGGGGTCCTCCATACCGAGGATCACTCGGGTAGTAGTTCATTGGCGCATGTTGGGGCTGCTGGTGCTGCAACGGTCTTGCCATTGGAGGCGACTGCATCGGCGGAGCTCGAGCATTCCCGAGGCGTGGATCGGAGAGCTGCGGAGGAGGTCGACCCATCTTGAAGGGCATCAGGTTGCCTGCCGAGGCTGAGCGGTTCCGATCAAAGGCGCCCGGAGCATCACCATGGTAGCCTCCCGTTGTCGGAGGAACAGAGACTGACGGTTGCGGCGGCGGCGGTGGCCCTTGGGGGTGTCGGTGGTGAGGCGGCGGTGGCGACTGCCAGTGTGACGAGGGATGGTAAGCCGGCCCTCCGCTGCCGTTGGTGCTGGCCGAATGAGACACAGCAACGTCTGGCCGCGGGTAGCGACCGTCGCGAATGTCCAAGGGATTCATCTGCTCCTTTAAGATCTGCTGCTTTGCATTGGCTGGCATCTCGGCGGCCGATGGGAACGAAGGGTGTCGCCGCTGTTTGTTGAGACGGATGTCTTCCATGCTCTTTGTCCCGTGGATTGACGTCGGTCCACCCATGGTGCTGGCGGGCGAGAGCGGAGGATACTCAAAGTCGTCGCGTGGAGACGAAAGGGCGCCGCCGAGGTACATGTGTGCCGCGTCTGCGTGATCGAGCCCTCGTGGCTCGCGGCCGCCCGCCTGAAGGCTCTTGGGCACCCCGCCGCTGCTGCCTGCGCTCGTGCTCCCACTCCCGCTGCTCTCGGACGGCGCTCCAACATGAGGTTGCGACGTTGTCCTCTGGGCCACTGGCCGGCTTTGGGATGATCCTCGCGACCCTTGGCCTCTTTGAAATGTATCGGAAGGCGAGGATACCTCGTCTGGAAGACCATGAGGCTGATGCATCGGCGACGCACTGACCGCAGCTGGCGAGGCTGGCACCGTCGTCGTCGTCGGCTGCGCTTGATGACTGCTCTGGCTCAACGGCCGCCTCAGCTTGCCAAACGGTCGCGAGGAGGTGAGGGTACCCTCGTCTTCGTCTGGATCCCTGACCTCCTCCATCGATGAATCGTCTGCCTGATGCCCCGCTCCTGCGCTGGGGGGCTTGTCGTACGGCCCTGCGCCAATGGTCGACGAAGACGATGCAAGGACCTGCTCTGAGACTGACCCAAGACCGCTGTTGGAAGGCGTCGAACGAGTGCTGAAGGTGGGTGAACGAACGTCCTCGGCCGAAGAGGCAACGCTGCCTTGCCCAGCACGCCTCGAAGTGGCCTTTGATCGGTGGAGATGATGACGGGAGCTGCTAGTCTCGGAGCCACTCTCGTTTGCAGCACTACCACCGCCCCCACCGCCGCTCAGAGCATCGCTATGCTGACCAAGGACCTCGCTGACCGACGACCTTGAGGACAGACTGCCAGACTTGGCATGCAGAGGAGCCGACAAGCCATCATTGGCAAGATTCTGCATCGCCTTTCGAGGCGAGGCAGCCACGGGAGGTGGGGGCATGACGCGGCTCGGCTGCGCGGAAGGTGCAGTTTGCTGAAGCAGAAACTTGAGCGTCCCTCTGTCGTCGCCGAGCTGCCAGCACATGGCCAGCAGCTCGTCGTCGTCGATCTTTGGCCCTGATGCGCTTGACATGCCGATCTCGGTGCGATAGAGGGCAAAAGACGAGGCCTCCTCGTCAAAGAGGTCTTTATTGATTCATGCATTAGTTAGCTCGTCTCGTTCTTATCTGCGAGAGACTGAAAGACACTCACGAAGCTTGCTCAGCATGCGCTCTTTGATCGCCGCCGATGAGTCGAGTGATGAGATGTCGACGACAGAGAAGCGCTCGTTGTCCTCAGTGACCTGGATGAAGGTCCGGTCCAGCACGCTCAGGCGCTTTGATGCTCTCGATGTCGAGGTCGATGTCGAGGTCGACGAAACTGCTAGCGCCGGTGCAGGTGCAGGTGCAGGTGCAGGTGCAGGTGCTAGACTGCTGCTGCCGCTTGCCTCAGACGCGGGTGGCAACCCGTGAGCCGACGAGAGGGAGCCAGCAGAGAACTGTCGCTGCATCCAAGAAGACGGCGTTAGAGGAGGCTCGGCGCTTTCGCTCAGGGGCGATCGCAGCGACGCCGGCCCGGCCGTATTGGCGCCCTGCGACGACGACGATTGCTGCTGCTGCTGCTGCTGTTGCATGCTCTCGGCACTTGCGCGCTCCCATGGGGCAGGCGGAGAAGCAGCCGAGACCGACGGGGAGAATTGGTGGGACATCGTCGAGCCATTGGGAGACTTTTGATGTGCATGAGGAACAAAAGACAAAGACAAAAGAAATACAAGTCAGCCGCCGCGCACTTCCTTCCATCTCTGGCGCGCTTCGCAGTCAGTCAGTCAGTGCGGTCCGGACTCACGTGCTCATTCAGCACCTCCTCGACCTCGTCGGTGTTGCTCGACGAGCCGACGTCGAGGGCGCTCCCATTGAGGCCCGCAAAGGAGGCAGTGCTGACTGGACGCTTGCTGGCCGCGTCCTTGGACTCGTTTCGCGAGTGGCCCAGCTTCTTGCCAAAGCGGTCGAAAATGCCGCCGACCTGCTCGAGGACGCTGCTTGGCCGCCGACTTCGCTGTTCCGACGCATTTAGCCCTCGGTCCCTTCTCCTGGTCTCGCTCGGCGCCCGGTCCTGCGGCTCCCGTATCGATGGCGTCGAGGATTCGGACTGATCGCGACCCGCAGACGACGACGGTCGGAACGAGGAGAAGAAGCCACTGCCCCCATGCTGCTGCTGCTGCAGCTGCAACCGGCCGAGCTGCTCCGAGCCGGCAAGGCTGTTCGTCGGTGAGCGTGGGCTCACACCAGAGAGCAGCACCGACGACGAAGGTGTGACATCGGAGCGGCCAAAGGACGAGGATCGCGACTGGCGACCATCACCTCGGACCATGCTCCAAGCGTCCTGGCCACCGTCCTGGGGCGAAGGGGTAGAGCTGGACGATGTCGATGAGTTGGACTGCGTCATGTTGGCAGTCTGTCTCCCAGGCGAGACGCCGGTGAGTGAGATAAGAGGGGTGGCCTGGTGCCAAGGCCGGCTTTCTGGATTTTGCTGCTGCTGCTGCAGTGAACCTTGTTCCTGCTCAGCGAGGCCCAGGGCCGCGTTAGAGCCAGTAGATGCAGGCCGGCCCTGGAGGGACGGGGAGGGAAACCGATGCCCACTGCTGCCGGAACCTGCTTCCGAGGGTGCTGACCAAGGGATGCGAAAGTAGGGCGACTCGTCGTCGCCGCCTTGGCCGCTGCCGTTATTTCCGCTCTTGCTGCTGCTGTAGCTTGGCGGGAATCCGAGCGGTGTAAGGACGTTCTCGGTAGACACGTCAAGCTCCTCACGCTGCTCGTCGGCCTCGTGCTGGACCTGAGTTTGGTGGGAATGAGTTGGATTGAGTCTGCGTTGGTTGTGCTGCTGTTGCTGCTGCTGCTGGAAATGGTTGAGTGAAGTGCGCGAAGACGAGGCCGGAGCGCTATAGAGGCCGCTATTTTGAAGGTGAAAACTCTCCCTGCGGTCCTGCGATGATGTTGGCGAGAGGGGGGAGGACGTCGACACTGAATCAGACCGCTGATATAGGCCGCGAGGGTAGGGAGGCGAGCCATGGAGGTTGCTCTGGCCATTGGGCGAAGACTGCCTGGCCTCTGTCCCCGCCATCTTGGCAAGTGCGAGCGACTGTCCTTAAGCTGAATACAAGCCATCGCCAAGAGAAGCCGGACATGACGGGGCAAGCGACGCCAACGATGATGAAGACGAAAGTGACGATGGGGCACGAAGAATTGGCAGGGGGAAAGGGGAATGCCAAGGAAATGAGAAAAAGGAAACATTCTCAGCGCCAAACACCTCCGGCTGCTGTCATTTTTTTTTTTTCACTCACAGATGCTTAGAAATGCCTCCCCACCTCTCGCCTTCTTCTGTTGTGAAAAGTTCCCCCTTCCCTGTTCTGGTTCGGAAAGACTCGAGCCGCGGAGCAGCGAGAGCCCAAGCGGCGGGGATCCAAGATACACGTCGTCAGTTGATCAAATGTCAGCCTCTTCCCTCCCCCCCGCGCTGGAAAGCTTCGCACGGGACCTTCTGCCAAGATGCGCCGCAGAGGACAGCTAGCGGAAAGGAAAGGTGGTAAGTATTTGGGAAAATGGAATGGAAGCGAGAAGATGCACACACACACACACGTACAGAGACAGGAAGGAAGGCAGGAGGGGGAGGGGGAAGGAGAGGAAGCAGGAGAGCTGCGCAGAGCGAGCCTCCCACTGGCGGCCTCCTTGCTCACTCTGCCTGGCGGTGCAAAGGCAAAAAACGGCAGTGTCGAGGGCTATTGTTGGACCATTTAGAGGTGGTTATGGGTGCGCGTCGAGGACAATCACCAAGCCCGTTTTTGTGTTGTCAGGTTGTCCAATCCTTGGCACGGCGCCCACGCAGACGACCGGGGAGGGCGACTCGGTCGCGAAAGGGCCTTGAGGTCTGCAGCAGAGTAAAGGGACCCCAAGCGAGCGAGGGAGCGGGCACAAAGCTAAGGCCGGATCGGAAGGAGAGAGTGGGGGGAAAGAGAGGA